GTACCACTGTACTGCCACTTCATTGAAAAGTAAATTATTGCTGTCCTTCCTTGGCTTTGACTCTTCTGAGGCAGAGGAGCAAAGTCGTGGTACGTGCCTTTGCTCTAAGCATAGGAATGCAGAGGACTTATTTTTAAAGGCCAAACGCCAGAGGGACATAGTTGTCCTAAGTCCACAGACTGCTCACCCTCTCAGCCCAGCAGCTGGGTAAGCACCCTACAGCTCACCTGGAGATGGGACCCCATCCCCTAGATGCTCAGCATTTCCCACTCACCTGGGATAGTTATGCCACTCTCTTTTATGAAGCTGCACAGTTCCATGAAGGAGCAGTTGCAGAACCAGGGATTCCCGCTTAAGCCCAGGCTTCTCAGGTTGGGCAGGTCCCTGAGGGTAATTGCATCAAGGAACGTCAGGCTACAGCGGCTCACATCCAGGTGCCTCAGCCAGGTATTGTTGGCGAAGGAGTCCTTCTCAATCTCCACCAGACCAGGGTTGTCGGAGAGCTTGAGCACAACCAGGCTGCCCAGCTGGGAAAAGGTCCCAAACGTGATCAGGGTGAGGTTGTTGAAACTGAGGTCCAAGTAGACAAGCCTGATGATGCTCACGAAGGTGAAGTCCAGGTCCTGGCCCAAAGCATTGCCGCTGCAGTCTAGATAGATCAAGTCGCTGAGGAAGTTCAGCTCCACGGACGGCAAGTAGCTGAGCTGGTTTTGAGCCAGGATCAGCTGCCTGGTGTCCAGAGGGATGGTCGCCGGGAACTCTGCAAGCCCCTTCCCTGTGCAGTTCACGGCCAGATACTCGCAAGTGCACCCCTGGGGACACGACACACCTTCTGCCGTCCCACCAATTCCTAGGAGCAGCACCACCCACCGCAAGCAGCACCCGGCTCCCTTTGTACCCCGATCTTCTCCACTCCATTCTGGGCGGGGAGCCATTTCTTCTCCGCACCGATCCTGTGGAGAGCTCAAGGTGCTCTGCTTTCTGCAAACTCTTCGCTCGTCAACATCTCGGGCAAACGGCCAACTGAAGCACCTGGGGCAGAGAGCTCACTTTCTTGAATGTGCAAAACGGCCACTTGCTGCTCTGTATCGTGTTGACTGCCAGTTGACACCTTTATGTCATCCAAGGTTCATCCCTGCACAGGTTTTGGGCATGCTTTGTGTGTATACACAAGAGAAAGTGTACGTCTTCTGCCATTGGCAAATGAAGATGATGGATTTTTCGGAGCTAGCCGACCTAACCAGAAGAGTCCGCGACCGGAAGGAGGTGGAGTATCAGGAAAAGTGGATTAAATTTAATGATTATTTAGTTAAATATGTTAAGTTAAATTAACTGAAAACAGCTTGCAGATACTTAATTGGCTTAGGATTTTATGTTAAGTGATGAATTAATATGTTTAATTTCATAATGTGAAGATTTAAGGATGTTAAAGTTAAATTTTATGAGAATTGTGATTTGGAAAACCGTTAAAAGTATATACAGTGAAATTCAACCAAGGGGAAGCAAGGAAGTCACTTAACAAAGTTAATAAGTGTAATTTTCAATAAGGCTATGATTTATGTTTGTTTGTCTTATGTGTTTGTTTGTTTATAATATTGTGAAAACCAATAAAAAAATTTTGGAAAGAAAGAAAGAAAGTGTCCGTCTTCTGTACCCGAGGAAGACTAGGGTGCCTGACAATCACCAAGAAAATTTTAGAGAGTCCTAGGCTGAGAAGGCAGGCAGGGCTTGTGTGATGGAACTTAATTAAGACTTCTAACCCCCCCCCCATCTTTTAGAGTGCATTACATAAATAAATACAACCAAGGTGCATAGCTGTCAACTTTCCCCCTTTTTTATTTTATTTTTTTAATAAAAATTTTATTAGGGTTTTTACATTACAAAATAGAAAAAGAAAAAAGAAAAAATACAAAATAAAAATAGTTAAAAACAATCAATCCTTTCATCACATTATTTTTCATTTACTTGTTTCCTGGACCTCCTCGTACCTCCCTTTTTTGTATTCCAGTTCAATTTATTAGCTCAGCAGTTTCTTTCCCTCTTTATTCTATCCAGATCTTTAATCTTAAATTATTATAACATTAAATTTTTACTTATAAAAAACCATTTTTTCATATTCTTTTATACCATTAGCTAGAAACCACTTAATTTCAATCCAGCATCATTCTAACATTCATTAATTTTACAGTATCTCTGTAAATAGTCTTTAAATTTCTTCCAGTCTTCTTCCACTGACTCTTCTCCCTGGTCTCGGATTCTACCAGTCATTTCCGCCAATTCCATGTAGTCCATCACCTTCATCTGCCATTCTTCCAACTTTCCCCTTTTTAAAAGGGAATTCCCTTATTCCGAATAGGATTCCTCGCAAGAAAAGGGAAAAGTTGACAGCTATGCCCAGGTGGTTAAGAAAGCCCAACAGAGACTCCATCTCCTCAGAGTACTGTGGAAGAACGATGTCAATCAACATTTGATGATCTCCTTCTACCGGTCCACAATAGAAAGTGTCCTTTCATACTGCATCACGGTGTGGTACGCTGGTTTGACATCATCTGACAGGAAGTGCCTACAGAGGGTGGTGAATACAGCACAAGATATTATGGGCTGTCCCGTGAATCCGCTGGATGAAATAGCGGAAGAACGTTGCCTCAGGAGAGTGAGGAAAATTCTCAGGGATGATTCACTCCCTGGCCGGCACTTTCTTGATCTCCTGCCCTCAGGCAGAAGATACAGAAGCACCAACAGGGTAAAGAACAGCTTCTGTCCGTGGGCTGTTAGGCTGCTGAATGAAAAGATAACAACAGGGCAACTGACTTTTGGGTTTGGTGGGTGTGCGTCAGTAAATGAGGTATATTAAGACTAAGAGAGCTGAGTGGGGGTGCTCGTGTAATCTCACTGTATACAAGTTGTACAAGTGACAATAAAGTATTTCAATTACGTTCTTCATTAAATTATCTTTCCATTGATATATAATTTTATGGTGTTACTCCCCCCAAAAGTGGTGTTGTGAGCCATCAAACCTCGGAAATACATTTTCCCCAAAAGGTTTCCACAATTTTGGCCAGTAGCGTACAATGGAATGGTCTCAGTGGGGGGGGGGAGCACATTTTTATTCTGATTATGACTTTATCAAAATAAAATAATAATATGTAATAAAACACACACACACAAGGCTTTGCGACCTGTTTACATCTGCAAGAGCTCTTCTAAGCACCGAATAGGTAACTTCCAATCTTTCTTCATTTTGGGGAGTTTTCTTGTTGAATGGACAGGCTCCCACCCCTTTTCCACCGCTATTGTTAATATGAGTACTCTCTCTCTCTCTCTTTTAGGAATTTATTGTTTAGTTTAGGAGTGTGAATGTAGCGGGTATTAGGGGAAAGGCACTCGTGATTTGGTTTCAATGCTGCACCCCATTGATTAACAGAATTCTTCCCTCTAAATCTCCTGTAAGGAACGCCGTTTAAATTTGTGCTCTTGTCATGGATAAGAATTTCTGACTTTGGAGCTCTTTTTGACATTTTTTCCCAGCATGGTGGGCAGCTGACCCACATAAAAGATTCCCTTCGTGCAAGCATGTTTGAAGGTCATGTGTGAAGCGCACAGACTCCCAGAGACTAATGCAACATCTGACCCCAATCCTCTAAATCAATGGCCGCAGTTGTCTTTTGCTTGAGGGCCCTTTCAGAAATGTCCTCAGCTCTTACGGAGCAGGTGGGCCACCAGTTATTGGCTATCACACTCGCCCCCCAGGAACCTCCTTCCCACTTGACTCCTTTGATGTCTCGGGGACCGAGACTTGGACTTTCACCCCGGTGTGATGGCCTGGGACTCAGGCTCAGAACCAGAGGAGTCTTAGTCCGCACCGGATCCTTTGCCTCAGGCGACATCTGAACCAAGTCTGGGGCCTGATCCTGAAGAGCCCCAGTCTGCACAGGTTCCCCTGCAACAAGCACCAGCTGGGCTGAGCCAGGGGCCTGAGCCTGCCCTGGCTCCAGATGCGGGGATTACCTCATTGCCTTCAGCTGGGCCATCACTTACAGCTCCTCTACTACCGGTTGGGTCAGGGGAGGCTGAGGCGGCCCCTGGGTCTAGTAACCCACCGACGTCTCCCGACTGCAGAGACTAGGGTCTGAGAGAAGGAGAGACTTGAGTACTCGCAGGAGGAGTGCTCGCCTTTGGGCGAAACAGGGAGGTGAGTTGCTGGGGGATCAGGACTGGTCATTACCCCGACAAAGATAAAAGGCTGTCGGACCCTGCCCCAGGTTGCGGGAACAACATTGCTGTATGCCAGATCCTGCCTGAGACCCTGTGCCTGACCTTGCCTGGTTTCCTGCCTCGTGTCCTGCCTTGGCCCTGTCGGACTGACTCCTCGTGGAACCCTTGGATTCGGGACCGGACCTGGACCACGTTGCTTGGGTTATATACATAATAATAATAATTTATTATTTATGCCCCGCCCATCTGGCTGAGTTTCCCCAGCCACTCTGGGCGGCTTCCAATCAAGTGTTAAAAACAATACAGCATTAAATATTAAAAACGTCTCTAATCAGGGCTACCTTCAGATGTCTTTTAAAAAGAAGATAGCTGCTTATTTCCTTCACATCTGAAGGGAGGACCTTCCACAAGGTGGGCGCCACTACCAAGAAGGCCCTCTGTCTGGTTCCCTGTAACCTCACTTCTCGCAATGAGGGAACCGCCAGAAGGCCCTTGGAGCTGGACCTCAGTGTCCGGGCTGAACGATGGGGGTGGAGACGCTCCTTCAGGTTAACCCCTGGGCCCAGCACACCCGGAAGCACCCAGTCTCCCATGCCCTCTACCCTGGCGCTGACACCTGGCACAGTCAGGCCCCGTTCTATACCGCAAGGTTATACTTGTGCACACAAAGGAGGGGCAAAGTGAGACCATCCTGGAAAGGTGGGGAAATGCCAGCAAATGGATTTTGCCACGAAACAGAAGGGCTACAAGCCATTGACACTTCTCAGAGCTCCAAAACAGCAGGTCTAAATCATTCTGTATTCCTCCTCGTCCAATTCCTCGTCCACCTTCATTACGGGGTGATAATAGATCACTGTGGCTAGCCCAACCAGCCAGGCCACCAGAGTTCCTCCAAAAAAGATACAGATGGCCATCAGACCCAAGAAGACGAAATCTTGGAAGTCTAAATGGACAAGGCAGAGGTAGTGGAGCTTCGTCTCGGCCACATTGACTGTCAGACCCTTGAAAAGTTCTGGTTTGTTGCAAGTCATTTCCTCAGAGTCTGGGGGAGGGGGGAAAAACAAACAAATTTAAGAGGAGTTACAGTCAGCATTTTAATTTGTTAATTGGTAGATCTATAATAGGAATGTGCCTTAACAGACCAAGGACAAGCAAAAAACGAGTGAAGAACCCTGGAGAGATCATGGAAGGGAGGAAACTACTCTGGCTCACAGAAGTCCAGGGCATCTTCAGTTGGGTCAGACATTCATGCTCTAGAGCAGACCTCTTCCACCACCACCAGTATATTATCAACAATCTCCACCTTCTCTGACCTTCCTCCACATAAGCTAGATTTAAAGTTTAATATAAAGTGGTACCTTGGATCTCAAATGTCTTGGTACTCAAACAACTTGGAACCCAAACACTGCAAACCCGGAAGTAAGTGTTCCGGTATGAGAACTTTTTTCAGAAGCTGAACGTGCTCCGTTTTGAGTGTTACGCTTCCAATTTGAGTGCCACACTTCCGTTTTGAGTGTTACGCTGAGGTCTGTCTGTTTTTGCTATTTATTTTGCGTTTTTGCTTTTGCGGCTCTTTTTTGTGTGTGATTGTGTGGAACCCAGTTCAGCTACTGATTGATTGTGTGACTGCAGTACATTGTTTATTGTTTTCATTTTATGGATCAATGGTCTCATTAGATAGTAAAGTTTATATTAAATTGCTGTTTTAGGGGTTGTTTTTAAAAGTCTGGAACGGATTAATCCATTTTGCATTACTTTCTATAAGAAAGTGTGCCTTGGTTTTGGAATGCTTTGGTTTTGGAATGGACTTCCAGAACGGTTTAAGTTTGAGAACCAAGGTACCACTGTATTCTTCGTCTTCTTCATCATCTTCATCAGCATATCATCATCGTTACTAACCTGCCCTTCACCCTAAGGTCCCAAGATGAGTTACAACATTAAAACACAATACTTAAAAATCTACACTTCAAGTGTCAAAAGGGGGCGGTGAAGGAAATAGAACAGTATTTGCAGCAAGGATGTTACTTGCCCCCAAATGGAAATAAGTAGTCCCAGCAAAGGAAGAAGGATACAAAAACTTATGAAACTGCAGAAAGAGGGGGAAGGAATTCAAGTTTTAAAATGTCAAAAAGATTGTAAAATCAGTGAAATGTATAATGTGGTTCCTTAAATTTATTTTGAATATTTTCTGCATATCCAAAATAATTTAATTTGCTCATTTATTCATCTGCTTTAAATATATACTCTTATGAAATGGCAGGTTATTACAATAATCCTGCCAATATTCCTATCTGTTTACAATTTATTTGTAAATATTCAATAAGCCATTTCCATTCTTTTATAAAAAGTTTGTTATCTTGATTTCTTATTCTTCCAATTTTTTTTTGCCATTTCTGCATATTCCATAAGGTTTTGCATCCATTCTTCCTTTGCTGGGACTTCTGCTTCATTCCATTTTGGGGAGAAAAACATTCTTGCCGCTGTAGCAGCATACATTAATATATTTCTGTACAGTTTAAGTAGTTCTGTCCCTATAATTCCCAAAAGAAAAGCTTCCAGGTTGTTGTGTTTTTTTTACAAGCGTTATTTTAAACATCCTTTTCAATTCATTATATATCATTTCCTGGTAAGCTTTAGCCTTCCTACAAGACCACCCCATATGATAAAAAGAACCTTCTTTCTCTTTACATTTCCAACACTTATTTGATTTAGATTTATACATTTTGGCCAATTTACTCGGTGTTAGATACCATCGATATATCATTTTCATATCATTTTTCTCTTAGATTATAACATGCTGTAAATTTTATATCCCTATTCCACAATCGTTCCCATGCTTCCGTGTCTATTTTTTTTAAAAAAATAATATTTATTACTTTTCCAACAATTTAAACACAACAAAAAAAGAAAAAAAGACAATACAATACAACACAAAGGCACTACATAACACTAACACATTAAACTAACAAAACAAAACAAAAGCCATTTAGAACACATCAAACAATTTCAATATCTTATCTTTCATTCGCTTATTTCAACGACCTCCCCACACCTCCCTTTTTGTATTCCACTTCTGTTAATTGTTTCAGCAATTCCTTTCCATCTTCCTCTGTTTTCTATCCTATAATTATCTTAACACATTCTAACCTTATTTTTTCCTTTAATATTCTATTAATCTATTTATACTTAGTTCCTTATAACATTTCTACTAAAGCCATATAACTTCATTCCAACATTTTTCTAACATTCATTAATTTTACAGTATGTCTGTAAATAGTCTTTAAACTTTTTCCAGTCTTCTTCCACCGACTCTTCTCCCTGGTCTCGGATTCTGCCAGTCATTTCCGCCAGTTCCATATAGCCCATCAACTTCATCTGCCATTCTTCCCCCATGCTTCCGTGTCTATATTATGAGCAATATCCAATGTATCATTGAGGATTTTACTTGCTCATCCTTTGTCTCCCATTTCCTCATGCTTATCTTCCTCTTCCTCCTTGGTACCACTTCTCAGGATGCCTCGTCCCGCGTCCTTGGTGCCTGCGAACAGGAGAAGGCGCCCCACGGAATTCGCACCTGGGAAAAGGTCTCACCTGGATACACAACATCAGCTTTCTTAATCCAGTTGCAAAACTCCAAGAAACTGCAGTCACAATTCCAGGGGTTCCCCTTCAGTCTCAAACTATGAAGGTTGTGCAGATCTTTGAATAATTCGCCGCCAACGTACGTCAAGGCGCAGTCGCTCATATCCACAAATCTCAGAAGGGGGTTGCTGTCAAAGGCTTTGTCCTTCACTTCCACCAACTTTGGGTTGCTTGAGAGATTCAGCAGCAGCAGCTTGTTGAGTTGCGAGAAAGTGTAAGGCGTTACAAAGGAAAGCTTATTGAAACTGAGGTCTAGGTACGTCAACTTGACTATACCGGGAAAGGTGAAATCCAGGCCCATTTCTAACAGGTTGTGGCTGCAGTCCAGATAGACCAGTTCGTTCAGATAGCTCATCTCTAATACCGGCAACGTGACGAGTTTGTTGTAGGACAGAATCAACTCCCTGGTGGTCAGCGGAATGGAGCCCGGAACTTTGTCTAAAGCCTTCATGCTGCAATTCACTGCCTTTTGTTCACAGCTGCACTTTGATGGACAGCTAAGGCCCTTTCCTGTCCATCTTATTACAATGAGAACAGCTATCCACAAGGGTGTGGAAGTACGGAAAGAGGGCAGAAGATGTCCCATCCTATACACCTTAAACGGAAGATGAAGGGTTTCCCTTCAGCACTAAAGGAGAAGTGTTTCCTGCTGCTGCTGCAGCAGCTCCCATGTCATCCCAGTTGGTACCAGTTGCCTTTATGACATCACCAGTTTGGCCCACAAATCTGGAGTGATGATGTATCAAGGAGTTACTGCCTAGGTCATATATTCTGGGATTTTTTTTAAATTAAAAAAAAAAGCATTTTCAAAAACAGGAACAAAGAGCATATTTAACCCCCTCCCCTCCCCCTGTCCCACTTACAACTTCATACCAAATACAGCCTGTATACATATACCAGGGGTCTGCAACCTTTAAGACAAAAAGAGCCACTTGGACCCGTTTCCGAAGGAAAAAAAACTGGGAGCTGCAAAACTCGTCATTATAAAAATAATTTTTTGTCACTTTTTTATTATTTCTTTGTTTGACCCCTCAGAATTACTCCTCCTCATAGAAATGAACGTTAAATTAACAAGTTACCTTTTTTTTGCGTGTGTGTTCTTCACTCCCCTTAAAAACAGTGACCAGCGTACATGCCCCCTTTCAATGCAGTGACCAGCGTACATGCCCCTTACAATGTAGCGGGCGGGTGGGAAAGTGACATCGGGACGGTGCGTGACTAACGCACGCACCGCCCCCATGCGACGTCACAACTAGTACAGCGCCTGCCACAGTGGGGCGTGTCGGGGCGCACAATGCGCCTCCTCCCCTCGCTAGTATCTGCCCCGGAGCCGCGGCAAAGGTGTAAAAGAGCCACATGCGGCTCCGGAGCCGCGGGTTGCAGACCCCTGACATATACCATATGACTTCCCTTCCATCCTTTTCCTAGTTCATTTTGCTTTTCTACTGCTTCACGTAATCCACATCTTTTTAATCATCCAATCTGTTATCTATTAAAAACTCTATCTGCTAGATTCAGGTAGGTAGCCATGTTGGTCTGACGCAGTCGAAAGATATAAATAAATAAATAAATAAATAGTCCAGTAGCACCTTAGAGACCAACTAAGTTTTTTTTCTGGGTATGTGCTAGTCCCAGGGGCTAACCGAGAGGCGAGGTCCGAGTCCAGTCCGAGGTCGATGGTACGGTATGGAGGCTGTCCGTCAAAGCTGAAGCTGGGTCCAAGGCAGGGAGTCAGGTGAGGTCAGGAACTCTGGCAGAAGAGCAGGACAGGGTGCAGACAGGAACCGGCTACCAACAACATTGCTCCCGCAACCTGGGACTGGGGCTGGCTGGCTTTTATCTACCCCGAGGCATAGGGCGGCCCCGGTCCACAGGTGACTCGCCTTTCCTGGCCTGGAGGTGAGCACTCCTCCTGCAGGAACTTAGTTCCCTCCACCTCTCTGCCCTGAGCCTCTGCAGCTCAGGAGAGGCTGGAGGGTTACCGGACCCAGAGGCAACCTCAGCTTCCCCTGACGGGGCTGAGAGTGGAGCACCTGCAGGCAGTGGGTCCTCCATCCCCTCAGGAGCCAGAGCAGTCTCAGCTGATGCCTACACCTGAGGATCCAGCACAGGTGAGGACCCTTCAGGCTCAGGCCCCAGCCCTGGCTCAGCTGGTTCTGGAGGCAGGGACTCCTGTGCAGGCTGGGATTCCTCAGGTTCAGCCTCTGAGTCCGAATCCCAGGCCATCACAGGGTATAAGCTTTCATGTGCATGCACACTTCTTTCTCAGGAGGGTAGTAGGAGATGGGTGATTGACTCAATGGGTATGGTAGACCTGTTGACGACTGTTAATGACTGCAGTTTATCACTAAACTGAAAACTATGGAGAGACCTGGTCTTAATAGAGATATTGGATTCCCGCCTTATTACATATGTTAATCATCTGCATACCATCCCTTGTTTTTTCCTATAGGACTATTGCAGTCATTCTATCTGCTGGATTTACTCGAGACCTGCTAAGCTATGTATTTGTCTATACTGGTTCTTAAAATATTCAATAAATATTATTCATTCCTCCTTATATTCCTCATCTTCATTTTCTCTTATCCTATTCGCCAGACCAGCCAGTTCAGCGTATTTAAACATTTTACGCTGCCATTCTTCCTTGGTGTGTACTAGACTTGTTCTTCACCTTTGTGCCAATAAGGCTCTCTAGGCTACAGGTAAAACTGGCTTTATATCTCTTTGGACATGTCTACACCATAATCCAATATTGGTTTTATGCAAGTTTACCTAGCAAGGCTTCCTACCAAATATCCCAGGAATTCTAACCGGGGGGGGGGGCATGAGGCATCCCTTCAGAGCTCCGGTTCCCAAAGTTCCCTGGGGAGAGGGAAGGACAGTAAAGCTACTTTAAGTCTGTGCTATAGATTTGCCCTTGGAAGGGTAAAAGGGTAGAAGAGTATTGGGAAATGATCTATAATGAATTGAAAAAAAATGTTTAAAATACTCCCCCCCCCAATACCCCCAGCGTCCTTTCTGTTGGGGATAATTCAGACTGAAATTCCCAGGTGTCAAAAAAAGGTTATTTATGTATGCCACTACTGCGGCCCGTGTTCTGTTAGCCCCAAAATGGAAAACGAGCAAGGTCCCAACCAAAGAAGAATGGCAACTTAAGTTGACAGAATGTGCGCAGCTTGCAGACTTAACATACAGAATAAGAGAACAAGGAGAACATATGTTTAGAGAAGATTGGAAAAATGTTTATTGAATAGATGGGAAATAATTGTGTACAGCTGAAAACGCTGGCAGCATTGCGATAAATTCAACAGTTCTGATGGATGTAATGATGTATGGAAGTGAGAGCTGGACCACAAAGAAGGCTGATCACTGGAGAATTGATGCTTTTGAATTATGGTGCTGGAGGGGACTCTTGAGAGTCCCATGGACTGCAAGAAGATCAAACCTATCCATTCTGAAGGAAATCAGCCCTGAGTGCTCACTGGAAGGACAGATCCTGAAGCTGAGGCTCCAATACTTTGGCCACCTCATGAGAAGAGAAGACTCCCTGGAAAAGACCCTGATGTTGGGAAAGATGAGGGCACAAGGAGAAGGGGACGACAGAGGACGAGATGGTTGGACAGTGTTCTCGAAGCTACCAGCATGAGTTTGACCAAACTGCGGGAGGCAGTGGAAGACAGGCGTGCCTGGCGTGCTCTGGTCCATGGGGTCACAGAGAGTCGGACATGAATAAACGACTAACCAACAACAACAATGATGGAATACTGTATGGGTATAGTTTCTGTAAAATATGCAGGGATTTATGATATGTAAAATGAACCATGGAAAGAGAAGGGAAGTGACTGAAATCTCAAGGATGCAAAATGGCTTCTCCCTGCCCTGCCTAGAGGAGGAAGGAGGCTGGGCTGAGCTGGCTGAGCGCCATTTTAAGCAGGGGCTGGCGCTGGGGGGTGGGAGTACTACTTGCCCCCTTCGCCTCTTCTTCCAGCTCTGCCCCCAGTGCCGCTACCCTGGCCCACCACAAGGTCTGAGGGACAGTGGACTGGCCTGCGGCTAAAAGAATTTGCTGGAGTTTAGCTTGGCCTTTGGGTGGGGTGGGGGCCTGCAGTGGCCCTTGGCCCAGTAGGTTCTTTGGCAAAATGAGTACGTTTAGCCTAGCAACCATTGTTAGGAAGGAAACAGCTTTGAAAAGGTAAAGGGACCCCTGACCATCAGGTCCCGTTGTGGCCGACTCTGGAGTTGTGGCGCTCACCTCGCTTTATTGGCCGAGGGAGCCGGCGTACAGCTTCCGGGTCATGTGGCCAGCAGGACTAAGCCGCTTCTGGCGAACCAGAGCAGCGCACGGAAATGCCGTTTACCTTCCCGCCAGAGTGGTACCTATTTATCTACTTGCACATTGACGTGCTTTCGAACTGCTATGTTGGCAGAAGCAGGGACCAAGCAACGGGAGCTCACCCCGTTGCGGGGATTCGAACCGCCAACTATCTGATCGGCAAGTCCTAGGCTCTATGGTTTAACCCACAGCGCCACCTGCGTCCCAGTAGGTTCTTTGGCAAAACGAGTACGTTTAGCCTAGCAACCGTTGTTAGGAAGGAGACAACTTTAAGTAACTGCTATTGGAGAAGAGCCCTCTGTCACTTCATTGTGACATGTGGCTGACAAAAGAGATGCTGCCGACACAGGTGCAGGAAGGAGCCCTCCCCTCCCGGTCCCTAGGCACCAGGTAAGAAGTCCCAATGCCTCTCTCCGGCAGCTCTGAGACAGTGTCCCAATAAACGCTCAGCAGGAATGACGAGTGAGGACAAGAAGCAGTTTGAGATCTCTAACCTCGGCAAAGTAGCCGCTCATGTCCCCGACCTCATAGTTTATGGTGATTTCTCCCAGGAAGTGCCTTTCATTGAGAGCTTCGATGGCGTGTTGCTCTTTGTGGACATTTCAGGTAGGCAAAGGGAGATCGGCGTTGGGAGGGAGGGACGGGAGCAGATTTCGGAGGCACCTCAAAGGAAGGAAGGAAGGAAGGAAGGAAGGAAGGAAGGAAGGGAGTTGAGGGACTTCAAATTGTTGTCCTGATGGGTAAAGGATGCGCAAGTCCCTCCATACTGAAAATAAACCCAGCTTCTCAGGCGTTCATATTGCTTCATGCCACCCCAAACTCCTCAGCAGGGCGAGAATCCAGGGGTCCCAGTGCTTACGCAGAGTTTGGAAATGCAGCAAAGCGGAGACTGTGGTGTCTTTATGACATATGGGTTATTTACACAGATATACAACCTGAGCCTGATGGGGAGGAGTTCAAAGCGTTGCACCCCGAGAGGCTCTCTCGCTTCTCTCATAGGCTTGGATCCAAACCAGAAGCCAGCCATGCATAAAAGCAGTCAGCCCCCAATAATAAAATATTGGGGGGTGGGGGGAAGGGAAGACAAGAAACCGTCTCCCAAAGTGATGTGAAACCTTCCGCCTGCCTTTCCCACTTCCATCCTCTTGGCTGTAACTCAAGCTGTGTTTCACTAATAGCAAGTGCTTACATATCTTAAAGGTTTCACGGCACTGACCGAAAAGTTCAGCATGACCACCAACCTCGACCGCGGTGCTGATGAGCTAACGCTGGCCCTTAATAACTATGTGGGAGACATCGTGGAAGGTAAGTAGAGCAACCTGAATGCCAAGACCCCGTGACCCCGCAGTTCTCTAGTAGATAATGAGCACACGTGCACAAGTATTTTGGTTTTTTATATATTTTTTATTTTTACCAACCACCAAAACACAGTGAACCCCCCCCCCCCCAAGGCGGCTGATACATTGGGTATACAATATTCAGTAATATACATATTCAGTAATGTACATGTTCAATAATGTTCAATAATAACATATTCAAATTAACCATATGTACACTTCCATATACCTTAACACTCCTCCCTCCACAAGGTTTATTTAACTTTTAACATTTTAATAAGCCCCAAATTGTTCAAACCTACTCAAATAATTCAATATCTTCTCAAACCAATCCTCCTCTTTCTCACTGACCTCAAACCCTTTCATTCTATGTATTTCACAGTCAGATATTCTAAAATTATAATATTATTCAGTTTTTTCCTCCATTGGTTCACCCCTAGCTCTTCTGCATTTTTCCAATTACTCGCTATAACCTGTCTGGCTGCAATTACCATCAATTTTACCCATTTGCATTCCTCTTTTGTTTTTAACTCGGTACTACTCAGTGTAATAAGAACCATTAATTTATTTCCACATTCCTTCCCACAATTCCCGATATTTCTATACCAATCTGTTTCCAAAAGTCATTAACTAACAGACAATCCCACCACATATGACTGTACATTCCCATCACTCCACATTTTGGTTTATGGGTTCAAATAGGCCACAACTTTATTGGTTACCGATGTAAGCGGTTTGGCTTAGGCATTGGGGTGAAGCCAGGCTATATCTTGACTCCTGCCCATCTGCAGGGCGCCCAACTAAGGGTAAACCACCAATAGAGCCCTATGATTTACATCATAGGGATGTCCCAAGCCCACGTCCAGGCACTGGACAGGATCCACACCCCCAGATCCCTTGAACAGTATACCCTTGATGAGGAGGGTATCATGGCACTGCCAGAGAATGCCGAGCAGGAGCAGGAACGGGCAGAGGAAGGTGGGCAGGAAGCAGCGATGGAGGAAAGAGGGGAACGGCAGGAGGCGGGAAGGCCCTAAGATGTTGAAGCAGAGCCCCAGCACCGCACAGGAAGTTCTAGCACCGATAGTGAGACAATGCCTATTCCATCTGCCAAGTAGAGGAGAGCGTTAAAGAGGAGGGGGGAGAGGCATTACATGAAACTTCCCCACTTTTTCTGTTGGAGAAGAAGCCGGCGTAGGCCACTCCCAGAATCTGAACTGGAGGATTCAGATGCATGAGTGTAATACACTGCTTGTAAGTAAAGGTAAAGGTACCCCTGCCCATACGGGCCAGTCTTGACAGACTCTAGGGTTGTGCGCTCATCTCACTCTATAGGCCGGGAGCCAGCGCTGTCCGCAGACACTTCCGGGTCACGTGGCCAGTGTGACAAGCTGCATCTGGCGAGCCAGCGCAGCACATGGAAATGCCGTTTACCTTCCCGCTAGTAAGCGGTCCCTATTTATCTTCTTGCACCCGGGGGTGCTTTCGAACTGCTAGGTTGGCAGGCGCTGGGACCGAGCAACGGGAGTGCACCCCGCCGCGGGGATTCGAACCACCGACCTTTCGATCGGCAAGTCCTAGGCGCTGAGGCTTTTACCCACAGCGCCACCCACATCATAAGTAAAATAAAGAACTGTATGTATCTCTGAGTGAGCAGAGGCACTTCTTGCAAAGAGCATTTACAAGCCATCACAGAGGGGCAGACGGCGGCTACAACCTCCCCTCGCAACCCTCACTTTGGTTCCAGAGATATTCTATCGTCCCAGCACTCAGACAAGTGCTGGGAAGTGCCACGCGATCCTACAAGGGCTAAAATATGGCCAGGACCAATTCTGAGCTGACCTAAGTCCTAAGTAAGGGACGCGGGTGGCGCTGTGGGTTAAACCACAGAGCCTAGGACTTGCCAATCAGAAGGTCGGCAGTTCGAATCCCCACAACAGGGTGAGCTCCCGTTGCTCCTGCCCACCTAGCAGTTCGAAAGCACATCAAAGTGCAAGTAGATAAATAGGTATCGCTCCAGCGGGAAGGTAAACGGCGTTTCCGTGCACTGCTCTGGTTTGCCAGAAGCAGCTTAGTCATGCTGGCCACATGACCCGGTAACTGTACACTGGCTCCCTCGGTCAATAAAGCGAGATGAGCGCCGCAACCCCAGTCACAACTGGACCTAATGGTCAGGGGTCCCTTTACCTTTTTTTAAAGTCCTAAGTCAAAAATGAAAGATCACAGGTTGGAATGGGCTTCAGTCGCTGCCACCTTTGTTCACAGGTTTTCCAAGGGCAGGGCTAGGAGAGACTCCGGCCGAAAAGGTTGGGGCATTGTTGCCACTGCCATTCACGACAGGCAGTCGAGGGCCAGATGGACCAAAAGCTGGACTCCAGGAGTCCAGAAATGGGGGGGGGGCAAGTGGAGGGCACCCCCTTTTGGCACTGTCCCGTGGCTGAGCCCAAATTCAGAACACTCTCTTGATTGGATCAAGGTTCAAATCTCAGATCATCTTGGGATCATTGAACTCTCCTGAGGGCTCGAGCCTGGATTTTAAACTGGGAATTGTGGCCCACCAGCACCCACAGTTGCTATAAGGGCGATCGATACTGGTGGACTAATAACAGCCTCTAATTAATGCTCACAGGGAGGAAAAGCAGCAGAAAGTGGCAGTGCCCTTTCTGGGTTGCAACTTTAGTTGTCTTTCTTTTTTCCTCCTGGTAGGGGCTGAGGTGGGACGCGGGTGGCACTGTGGGTTAAACCACAGAGCCTAGGACTTGCCGATTAGAAAGTCAGTGGTTCGAAACCCCATGACGGGGTGAGCTCCCGTTGCTTGGTCCCTGCTCCTGCCAACCTATCAGTTCGAAAGCACGTCAAAATGCAAGTAGATAAATAGGTACCGCTCCGGCGGGAAGGTAAATGACGTTTCCGTGTGCTGCTCTGGGTCGCCAGAAGCGGCTTAGTCATGCTGGCCACATGACCCGGAAGCTGCATGCCGGCTCCCTTGGCCAATAAAGCGAGATGAGCGCCGCAACTCCAGAGTTGGTCACGACTGGACCTAATGGTCAGGGGTCCCTTTACCTTTACCTTAGGGGCTGAGGTGGTGAAGTAAACAACCCCAATTTAAAACTTTATACCCTTGTCTGTCTTCTTAAGGTATTAAGAGCACACAGAGAGTTAGAAGAACTGTGGAAGCAATGGAAGCTACTTCTGTAACCCTTCTCCCTTTCTTTTTCCTTTGCAGAGGTGTTGGTGTTTGGAGGCGATGTCTTGAAATTTGCAGGTAGGACCCTTCTGTGGGTGGGTGTCACACCTGTGTGTGTGCTTTCAATTGTATGTTTCACAAATCCAAGTCTTTCTTCTTCTTTCGTATATAATTTTTATTAAATTTTCTGTTTACAATTTAAAGTACTCATTTATACATCCTTAAGATATCAATGACTTCCTTTCTTCTTTTTCCATGGTTCGTTTGACATATCATAAATCCCTGCATATTTTACAAAAACTAAACCATTCAGTATTCCATTAATGCATCCACCAAAACTTATTTACACTGTTGAATTCATCTTAGTGCTGCTAGCATTTTCAACTGTACACAATTCAATATATTCAACAAATGTTTTCCAGTCTTCCATTAATGCATCCACCAAAACTTATTTACACTGTTGAATTCATCTTAGTGCTGCTAGCGTTTTCAACTGTACACAATTTAATATATTCAACAAAAGTTTTCCAGTCTTCTCTAAGCGTATGTTCTTTTGTTCTCTTATTCTATATGTTAAGTCTGCAAGCTGCGCATATTCTTTCAACTTAAGTTGCCTTTCTTCGTTGGTTGGGACCTCAATCATTTTTCCACTTTTGAGCTAATGAAACATGGGCTGCAGTAGTGGCATGCATAAATAACCTTTCCTGACCCCTGGGAATTTCAGTCACAAATCCAAGTCTTTCTGAAGGAGCGTCTCCACCTTCATCGTTCAGCCCAGACACTGAAATCCAATGCTGAGGGCCTTCTGGTGGTTCCCTCACTGCTAGAAGTGAGGTTACAGGGAATCAGGCAGAGGGCCTTCTTGGTAGTGGCACCCGCCCTGTGGAATGCCCTCCCATCAGATGTCAAGGAAATAAACAACTATCTGACTTTTAGGAGACATCTGAAGGCAGCCCTGTTTAAGAAAGTTTTTAATGTTTGATGTTTCATCACATTATTATTATTATTATTATTATTATTATTATTATTATTATTATTAATGTTTTGTTGGGAGCCGTCCAGAGTGGCTGAGGAAACCCAGCCAGATGGGTGGGGTATAAATAAATTATTATTATAATTATTATTGTTATTCTCTCTGGCTTCTGTAGGGGATGCATTGCTGGCACTCTGGAAAGTGGAGCGATGCCATATCAATGATATCATCACTCTGGCACTGAAATGTAGCTTCAGCATCCAGCAAGAGTACGGGGTTCGCGATACGGAAGTGGGACTGGAACTGCGCGTTAAGATAGGTAATGCATCCTCTGTTGGGATACTGCCAGGGAGACAAAGTCCATCATGGCCCTACGTCGCCTCCAGACGTCCATCGATCTCCCGTAGACACGCAGTATCAGCAATTAGCGGCACAAGCTCCAGAAATAGCTTGCCACATTCTAGGGCTGATGCACGCTCTTATCAGCAGATAATGCACAACAGAAGATGCACGCAGGAGAGCATTATTTATGAGTTTATTCTGCGTTAGTCAGAACAGAGAAAAACATGACTGCCTGCTTCAGTGTTTCAGGCATGGAGAGAGAAAATGAAAGCAATAGAAAACATAAACATCCTGTGAACAGGAAATACGCAGACTCTGTGACTCACAAAGCCTGCTCCCTTTTAAGGTGGAACGGAAATATCCTAACATCCTCCCCTACATGGAGCTCAGAGCCTGTGATCCTTGGAAAGTCGAAATGTGTGCCTCTGCCTGAGAGAGACAGGAGCACAGACTGGCACAGCAAGGCAGGAACACTCAGGGGTCCTTGCTATAATTTCCCCCGGGTTCTTCTTCTTCTTTAGCGATCACTCTTAGCCGAGTAAGATTGTCTTCCATGAGCATGGTCTTAACAGTGAGTCCGCAAGTGACTGTGGAGGCCAATTCTGGATCCACACGTCCTTCCACAGTGGGGACATTGGTTTCTGGGCGGAAGTTGATCACGGTGAGGGTTTGCCAAATGTGCCTTCCTCTTAGCACGTTTCTCTCTTTCGACCTGAGTTCGAGCGTCTTCAAAGCCCATGACACCTTTGGTAAAGGCTGTTGCGTGTTCAGACCCAGAGACCTCCCCCCTAAATAAATTCACACTTGACTCAAATGTTAGTTTTGGTTTTTGGCAGAATTTTGGCCACTACTTTATTGATTACAGAAGGTGAGTGGTTGCATAGGCTCTGGTTCGACTAGCTCCCTGCACCCTTGCAGACAGCACTGACCCAGGGCACCAGCATAGGTCAGCCAAGGGTGAACACCTGGGTAGGCAAAAAGCCGGGAACAGACTACGTTCACCACCCAGATGCCCCCCTGGACTCAGGCATGGGCACAACCCCCTCTCAGGGGTTGACCAAACCAAGTTGAGTCCCTGGATTCCTTTAATGGAATACCCTTCACATAGGGATGGCGAGAGCGTTCTCCCATCCCTATCACCTGAACCAGAGCCTATCCGCAACCTTACAAGTTGCGACAATTTGCTGTGTGGCAGGCGAAACCCAAATGGCAACAGCCAATCAGCCAAGTGGGGAAAATTCCTGTCGTGCCCCTGTCCCAACGACAGACGACACACGACGGCATAGCAAGGTCAAGCGCAAAATGCCCTAAAAGTAGGGAGAGGTGGGCGGGTGTTCCAATTGCATGAGCCGAAAGAGGAAGCTCTGGGTCACGTGCATGGGCATAAATAGGTCCCTCGAACCATTTGGACTGCATCCCATTGGCCAGATTGAACCCAACATCGAGGGACCTACCAACTGGGTGTTGTGGCTGACCAATCTTACCCACCCACAACAGAGGTGGTCAGTCTCCAGGTTTCACCGCAACACGTGCCCTCTTTTAGGGAGGACATGATTTCTCCAATTGGAGCGCTCGCAGGCCAGTATTTCCCAGTTGTCGGTGTTTATACTACATTTTTTTAAACCTCTCGTGGACCACCAGCATTACGCTTTCCATTTTAAAGTTCGGAATAGAGTAGCTGCTTTGGAAGACGATAACCAGGCATCCGCACAACATGACCAGTCCAACCGAGTTGATGTTGAAGAATCATTGCTTTGACACTGGTGGTCCTTGCTTCTTCCAGTACATTGGCATTAGTGTGCCTGTCTTCCCAAGTGATGGGTAAATTTTTTCGGAGACATGTTGATGGAATCAACCCCTGGTTCTAGCCAGCAGGCAATCCCTCTCACTTAACAGCCATGCATTACACAGAAGTTACCTAAATCTCTTCTATTCCTCCCATGGTCTGCCAGGGCTCATCCACAGTCCCGCTTGCCCTGATGCTTGCCCCCAGGAAAACCAGCTCTTTACTGCGGAATCAGAGCAAACATCCGTCAGGTTTCCCACACATTGGTGTGGGCTCCAATTCAGTGCTAAGGAGCGGCTTTCCCCGGGGAAAGAGGCAGGTTAAAGTCAAAACCGCTAGAAAGCATGGGGCGTGTGGAAAACCTCATGGACCCCTGCAAGGTGTCGAAGAGCCTTTACTTAACTGTTCATTTCACAGAGTCTTCTTTCTTTCTGTTAAGTTGTGGGTGAACATATCAGATGACACAGCGATTCTTCAAACAGCTCTTGTTTATTCACAGGCCAGAACAGAACTGAACTGAAGGGTTCAGCCAGCCTGCTTATATAGAGCTCCACTAGAACGCAACAGTAACCATTTTCTGTAACTATCCAATAACTGAATGTCACTTTCAATCCCTTATTTGCATATGTGGACCTGAGTGAAATCTATCTACAGTATCCCCCTGCTGGCCCAGGGTGAGAGCGTCAGTACATAACACTTTATTTGGCGATCACTCGTAGCCGAGTAAGATTGTTTTCCATAAACATGGTTTTAACAATGAGTCCGTAAGTGACTGTGGAGGCCAATTCTGGATCCAGACGTCCTTCCACAGTGGGGACATTGGTTTTCGGGCGGGAGTTAATCACGGTGTGGATTTGTCAAGCGCGCCTTCCTCTTAGCACGTTTCTCCCTTGCGCCCTGAGTTCAAGTGTCTTCAAAGCCCATGACACCTTTGGTAAAGGCTGTTCTCCAACTGGAGCGCTCACAGGCCAGTGTTTCCCAGTTGTCAGTATTTATGCTACATTTTTGAAGATTTGCCTTGAGACAGAATAGCTCCTTGTTCTCCAGACTGTAAGGAGCCATAAGGAGGAAACGTCGGACTGCCATTCGTTTGGAATTTCCCAGACATACCTGGGAATTGGCCGTCAGAAACAGTGTCCGGGCAGTAATCGCTGAAATGTCTAGGAAACTCCCATGTCAGGAGTCCTTAAAGTAGCTCAACAACTTTTATTTCCGGATTTTCACTTTTTGAAATATGGCAACCCTAAGGGAAGGGCCAAGTCAGAAAAGCAGACCATAGTTTAATAGACCTAAATCCCCCTCACCCTTACGACCATTAAGGGAGAAATTGGAAGAATGAAACTGTTCCCACAATAGTAGAGTGGCAAGCTCTAATGACAGAACACCTTCAGTTGGCAAAGTTATCAGGAAGAGTAAGAAACGACACGAAACAGAGAGTCTATAAGGAATGGAGAATATTTAAAGAATACTTAAAAAATCATTATAAGAATGAAATTCTCTTGGCAGAGCTAGACTGATTCTTGCAAAACAAAAAGTGTAAATAATATTGTGTTAGGACATATGAAGATAACTGAATGTAATATGAGGCTGCATATTATAAAGGAAAGAATAGACATAGTAAACGATAATTTTTGGAAGTCTTTTTAAAGTTTATAGAAATCTTTTTTCTTTTTGCTTTCTTTTTACGGAATTGTATTTGTATGAACATAAAGGACAATTTGTTATTATATTCGTGCAGAACAATTGTATAAAATTATGTACTTGTTTCTCCTTATCTTCTTTTTCTTTTTTCTTCTTTGTTCCAGCTTTTGTATTGAATATTGTTATATATATAGACTTCTCTTTTTCTAATTAAAACTAATAAAGATTATTTTTAAATAAGACCATTAAGTCCCAGCTGCACCACTGACTACAGGATATGCTATGGCCCTGGATATGGTGGGAATTATTTCCATGCAAAATGAGAACTATTGAATTAATTTCCATTGCCATGTATGATTTCATGTTATACCTGGGATGCTTAACAAACGTCTTTTGCTGCAGCAAATATTATTTCAATCCCCAACTACTAAATAAATGCTCTTGGACAATTAATCAGCAATCTTGCCTGATTTTTGTCCGTGTTGTATGCTGTCCCTTTAGATTTTGTTTTATTTATATGTTTTCATCCATGCATTCTCTCCATTGTTAATCTAGCCATTTCTGTGAGGTGATCAAATGGATTACGATGCTGTTCCTTTCTCCAGGACTATCTGCAGGTCACATCTCAAAAGTTGTGGTCGGAGACAACAGGCACCAGTATTTCCTGGTAATTGGCCGAGCAGTGGATGAAGTGCGGTTGGCCCAGAACTTGGCGAAAGCAAGTGAAATTATCCTGTCGCCAAATTGCTGGGAGCTCTGCGACCGGAAACTAATTGAGGTGGAAAAAATCAAAGATGAGCGAGCTGTTAAGGTGGGTGGGTGCCGGCGGTGGACGACACGCTTGCCGCTGCCTGTTGTGGCATCCTTTCTCTCTACTCAAAGTTTAAACTTCCTAATAACTTAATTAGAAATACTTGCAAGTACCAGATTGGCTTAGGATTTAAATATGTGATGTTATAGAATAATATGTTTAAAGTTATTATGAAAAGAAAGAAAGATGTTATTTGATTAAGTAAATTTTGTGAGAAATTAGTTTTGGAAAACCATCACAATGATATACCGTATTTTTTGCTCTACAAGACTCACTTTTTCCCTCCTAAAAAGTAAGGGGAAATGTGTGTGCGTCTTATGGAGCGAATGGAGGCTGCGCAGCTATCCCAGAAGCCAGAACAGCAAGAGGGATTGCTGCTTTTGCTGCACACTGATTCCTCTTGATGTTCTGGCTTCTGAGACTCAGAATATTTTTTATCTTGTTTTCCTCCTCCAAAAACTAGGTGCGTCTTGTGGTCTGGTGCGTCTTATAGAGCGGAAAATACGGTACACTGAAACTCAGCCAGGGGGACTCGAGGAAGTCACTTAATGTCAACAAAAGTAGAATTATTACAGTTAGGACTTATGTTTGTTTGTTTGTTTATAAATTTGGAAAATCAGTAATTTTTTGGGGGGGGAAAAGAAAAACAAAGTTTAAACTTCTGGTGGAGGAAATAGAACATGGCTGAGTTCAAGATCCTTGGCCCTCCCAGGTTAGTGCTGTTTGTTAGAAAAGGCAGCTACTCTCTGTGATCTTAGGGTTTATCCACACTTACTTTTGGCTCCATTCTTTCCAGGTAGAGGCCCACACTTTAATACTCTGTGACCAAGCATTTGTTGTTGTTGTTGTTGCTGCTGTTTACCCTGAGCTTTCCCTGCAAAAGCCCACTCTTTAAATCATACTGGTGCTGAACAGGGTTGGGACATGAGGAGACAGATAAGGGGGGAATGTGATGGTAATTTGCATCCAAGGATATGTGCTTGGGGTCTCGCGGTGCGGGGAGAGATTAATGTTGGGAAGTTGACTGACAAAGGTCATATCTGGCAGAAACAGGGGTGAAAATGGTTAAAGGTAAAGGTAAAGGTACCCCTGCCCATACGGGCCAGTCTTGCCAGACTCTGGGGTTGTGCGCCCATCTCACTCAAGAGGCCGGGGGCCAGCGCTGTCCGGAGACACTTTCCGGGTCACGTGGCCAGCGTGACATCGCTGCTCTGGCGAGCCAGAGCCGCACACGGAAACGCCGTTTACCTTCCCACTAGAAAGCGGTCCCTATTTATCTACTTGCACCCGGGGGTGCTTTCGAACTGCTAGGTTGGCAGGCGCTGGGACCGAGCAACGGGAGCGCACCCCGCCGCGGGGATTCGAACCGCCGACCTTTCGATCGGCAAGCCCTAGGCGCTGAGGCTTTTACCCACAGCGCCACCCGCGTCCCGTGGGTTAAACGGGTTTAACAGATGGTTAAACAGCTGTAATTCTGTTTGCCAGGTTCGATACATTAGAAATACCCTGGATTTTGACACTGAGGAGTTCTTTGATAGATGCACACAGTACCTGTACCAAAATCGTATCTGTGACAATTTTGGTGAGTTCTTTGGCTATTGTAAGATGTCTAGAAAGAGGTCTATAGATGTCCCTTGAAGGGGTGCTGGGCTGGGGCAAGTCGTATGGTGGGGGCTCCCCTTCTCATTTTCTGCAGGCGAAATCTGCCTCCCAATGTGAACCAGAAGGCAAAGGCACCAATAATAAGGAAGAGCCCTAAAATACTTTAAATAAGTGCTATGGAGTGAACCTGAAACTATATGCATACAAAGCACATGTCATATCATTGTTAAGTACTTTTTAAATCTGCATACATCACAAAAAACACATTAGGATATTTGGGATTGCATTATACCCGGGCTTACCCACCCTTCGGGATTATCCACACCTCTTTCCCCCAGGGAAAACTGCTCTTTTAGTGCTCAATCGAAGCAAATAGCAGTCGGGTTTTCTGCAGATTGAGGTTTGTTCTGATTTAAAGCTACAGAGTGGGGCTTTCCCAGGGGCAAGGGGGAAACTGCTTGGACTCATGCCTAGAAAATGCAGGCCAAGCTGAAAACTGCTTTAAACTGTGCTTTCTAGGCATGGAAACAGAAGCGGAAGTGTAGACAAGCCTTAAGACAACACAATTTTTTCTTGCCTATTACACAGATATGGGTAAGGCCTTCCTTATCTATGTGTTCATAAAGCCTCTGCAGTACCAAACAGCACTATTCACACATGGTAAAACTCAGACTGGGCTATATAAAGGGGTAAAGGGACCCCTGACCATTAGGTCCAGTCGTGGCCGACTCTGGGGTTGCGGCACTCATCTCGCTTTATTGGCCGAAGGAGCCAGTGTACAGCTTCCGGGTCATGTGGCCAGCATGACTAAGCCGCTTCTGGCGAACCAGAGCAGTGCACGGAAACGCCATTTACCTTCCCGCCAGAGCGGTACCTATTTATCTACTTGCACTTTGACGTGCTTTCAAACTGCTAGGTTGGCAGGAGCAGGGACCGAGCAATGGGAGCTCACCCCGTCGTGGGGATTTGAACCGCCAACCTTCTGATCGACAAGCCCTAGGCTCTGTGGTTTAACCCACTGCGCCTGCACTACCAATATCAAAGGCAGCAAGTGGCCTTTGTAAAGAGCAGAACTATCAAGAAAGGAGCCAAGCCACAGGTTCAAGTCATACCACACATCAAATGCCTCATGCAATAAATTGCAAATGTAGAAGATTTCCTAGGAAACATATGCCCAGTTTTGAGATGGGGCACAAAGCACCAGTGCTTGAAAGATGGCAACACAGAGAGACTGTTTCTTTCACGTGCACAGACAGAGCTCATGCAATCATTTTTTGCCCTTGTCAAGGAAAGGAAAGGGCCTCTCGCCATAAGGAAGCTCTAAGGCATTATCCTAAAAAATTAAAACTCCTCCTCAATCACACTCAGATAGACCAAGAAACTCTTAACTCATTCACTTATTCCCTGTGTTCACAGAACAATTCATTTAGTCCAAGATATTACAGAGGGCTAGTCTGTTGCAGCAAAAGCACCTGAGTCTTTTACATTTTAAACATTGGTTGGGCATTTCGTTAGTTAACAATAACAACAATAAGAATAACAATAACTTATTTATACCCCACCCATCTGGCTGGGTTTCCGCAGCCACTCTGGGCGGCTTTCAACAAAATATTAAAATACAATAATCTATTAAACATTAAAAGCTTCCCTAAACAGGGCTGCCTTCAGAAGTCTTATGAAAGTCTGGTAGTTGTTTTTCTCTTTGACATCTGGTGGGAGGGCGTTCCACAGGGCAGGTGCCACTACCAAGAAGGCCCTCTGCCTGTTCCCTGTAACTTGGCTTCTCACAGCAAGGGAACCGCCAGAAGGCCCTCAGCACTGGACCGCAGTGTCCGGGCAGAAGGTGTAATAGTTGCCTAACATAAATACGTGTGATGTCTAGTGACATATACACATAGTGGCTCGAGCAAATGGCACCAGACCCTCCATCACCCCAAAATTATTTAGCACAGGGATAATCAACTGGCAATTCATGGGGCTGTAACTGGCCCCCATACATTTTGCACAGCCCTGCACAAATACGCAAGTGGGTGCATGGCTGCTGCGCATATCAGGAGAAGCTTCCATCCTGTTCTAAACTTTCCTAATCACGTCTTTCTTTCCTCCATGAAAATGCTCTCACCTTTCCTCCCTAGAGATTTTGAGAAATGCCTCTGTGTTGCCTCCAAATGACAAACTTGAGAAGTGTTTGAGAAAATACGTGATGAGGAATATCCTAAAGAAGGTACTTCAGTGCTTGATGGTTGCTTTCTTACTATTACGTGGCGTGTTGCAAACAGGCAGTGCTATTGTCATTCTCTGTGTCTTATTATTATTTTTAAAATTAAGGTAATGTGCGTATTTCTTCTATGTATGAAGCCTCCTGAGTCACAGACCTTAAAGTTACCTTTCTTGAACAAAGGAACTTCAAAAGGAGTCTCCAACATAAAACCACTAAATTGCACCTCATCAATAAGTCCAGTTCTATCCCAATGGTCTGAATTGAGATACAGTGGTACCCCGCAAGATGAATGCCTCGCAAGACGAAAAACTCGCTAGACGAAAGGGTTTTCCGTTTTTTTGAGTCGTTCCGCAAGACGAATTTCCCTATGGGCTTGCTTTGCAAGACGAAACGTCTTGCGAGTTCTTGCGAGTTTGTTTCCTTTTTCTTAAAGCCGCTAAGTCGCTAAGCCACTAAGCCGCTAATAGCCGTGCTTTGCAAGACGAAAAAAACCGCAAGATGAAGAGACTCGCGGAATGGATTAATTTCGTCTTGCGAGGGCACCACTGTAATGTCTATCATCAGCTTATCAGTTCTGTGTTGTTTGTGTTACCATCAGCCTGGTTAGTGAATGATCGCTGTGGCAATTTTATATATTGTTCCACAACACTCTGATCTCTGAGCCGTGTGAGATTCCAGGGGTTTTTTTGTGCTTCCCCAGGGTTGGGTTTCCTCAGACTGAGGCACACTTTGGTGTCTCCAGAACACATGGTTTATTTACACATATAAACAACCTGAGCCTTTTAATGAGAGTGAAAGAGGAGAGTGCAAAATATGGTCTGAAGCTCAACATCAAAAAAACGAAGATCATGGCCACTGGTCCCATCACCTCCTGGCAAATAGAAGGGGAAGAAATGGAGGCAGTGAGAGATTTTACTTTCTTGGGCTCCATGATCACTGCAGATGGTGACAGCAGTCACGAAATTAAAAGATGCCTGTTTCTTGGGAGAAAAGCAATGACAAACCCAGACAGCATCTTAAAAAGTAGAGACATCACCTTGCCAACAGAGGTCCGTATAGTTAAAGCTGTGGTTTTCCCAGTAGTGATGTATGGAAGTGAGAGCTGGACCATAAAGAAGGCTGATCGCCAAAGAATTGATGCTTTTGAATTATGGTGCTGGAGGAGACTCTTGAGAGTCCCGTGGACTGCAAGAAGATCAAACCGATCCATTCTGAAGGAAATCAGCCCTGAGTGCTCACTGGAAGGACAGATCCTGAAGCTGAGGCTCCAATACTTTGGCCACCTCATGAGAAGAGAAGACTCCCTGGAAAAGACCCTGGTGTTGGGAAAGATGGAGGGCGCAAGGAGAAGGGGACGACAGAGGACGAGATGGTGGGACAGTGTTCTCAAAGCTACTAACATGAGTTTGACCAAACTGCGGCAGGCAGTGGAAGACAGGAGTGCCTGGCGTGCTCTGGTCCATGGGGTCACGAAGAGTCGGACATGACTAAACGACTAAACAACAACAACCACCTGAGCCTACGATGGAGGGGTTTACAGCATCAGCACCGCAAGAGGGTCTTGCTTCTCTCATAGCCACAGCCTCGGATTCCAAAAGAAATCAAGCACGGCTCTGTCACTCAGCTGCCCAGCTTCTAACTTCTAGTCTCTTTTTTTTTTAAAATTTTTTTTATTGGTTTTACAAAGTTTTAAAGACAAACAAACACTTAAAAAAGAAAAGAAAAAAGACAAAAAACATACAAACACGCATAATTTCATATTGTTTCTCATAACCCTCTTTTCTCAGACTCCCCCATACCCCCCCTTTCTGAATCCCAATGTCCATAGTTTTATAGCAACTCCCCAATATTACTTTCCAACCTCTGTCCTTAGTTATCTCTATAATCTGACCTTATATCACTGTATCCCTTTGTTTCTGAAAACCATAACATTCTAACATTCATCAAGTTTATAATAGTCCTTAAGATAACTTTTAAATTTTCTCCATTCTTCTTCCGCCGTCTCTTTTCCTTGGTCACGTATTCTGCCTGTCATCTCAGCCAATGACATATAGTCCATCATTTTCATCTGCCATTCTTCCAGAGTGGGTAAATCTTGTGTCTTCCAATACTTTGCGATAAGTATTCTTGCTGCTGTTGTAGCGTACATAAAAAAAGTTCTATCCCTCTTTGGCACCAATTGGCCGACAATGCCCAAGAGAAAGGCCTCTGGTTTTTTAGAGAAGGTACTTTTAAGTACCTTTTTCATTTCATTATAGATCATTTCCCAGAAAGCCTTAATCTTCGGGCATGTCCACCAAAGATGATAGAAGGTACCTTCAGTCTCTTTACATTTCCAACATTTGTTATCGGGCAAATGGTAAATTTTTGCAAGCTTGGCTGGGGTCATGTACCACCTGTAAATCATTTTCATTATGTTTTCTCTTAAGGCATTACATGCCGTAAACTTAACACCGGTGGTCCATAACTGTTCCCAGTCAGCAAACATAATATCATGACCAATATCTTGTGCCCATTTAATCATAGCTGATTTCACCGTTTCATCCTGTGTATTCCATTTCAACAACAAGTTATACATTCTTGATAAATTCTTAGTATTGGGTTCTAGCAGTTCAATCTCTAGTTTTGATTTTTCCACCTGAAAGCCAATTTTCCTGTCCTGTTTGAAAAGCTCCAATATTTGATAGTATTGAAGCCAGTTTTGTACTTTATGTTTCAATTTGTCATAGCTTTGTAATTTCCACTTATCTCCATCCTGTTCCAAAATTTCCCAATACTTCGGCCATCCGACCTCCATATTGAGTTTCTTTACTGCTTTAGCCTCGACTGGTGACACCCATCTAGGGGTTTTGTTTTCCAACAGATCTTTATATCTCATCCATACATTAAACAATGCTTTTCTAACAATGTGATTTTTAAAGGCACTATGCTGCTTAATTTTGTCATACCATAGATATGCATGCCAACCAAAAACATTATTAAAACCTTCCAGATCCAAGATGTCTGTGTTCTCGAGGAGCATCCATTCCTTCAGCCAGCAAAACGCTGCTGCCTCATAGTACAATTTTAAGTCCGGCAGGGCAAAACCCCCTCTTTCTTTAGCATCTGTCAATATTTTAAATTTGATTCTGGGCTTTTTGCCCTGCCAGACAAATTTCGAGATATCTTTCTGCCACCTCTTAAAACATTCCATCTTGTCAAGTATCTGCAAGGTCTGAAACAAAAATAACATTCTAGGCAATACATTCATTTTAATCACTGCAATTCGGCCTAACATTGACAGTTTCAAATTTGACCATATTTCTAGATCTTTTTTAATCTCTGACCAACATTTTTCATAATTATCCTTATACAAATTCATATTTTTAGATGTCAAATAAACCCCTAGATATTTCACCTTCTTAACCACCGTCAACCCTGTCTCCTCCTGGAATTTCTCCTTTTCCATTTCTGTTAAATTCTTACCTAAGACTTTAGTTTTTTGCTTATTCAACTTAAATCCAGCTACCTGGCCGAACTGTTGAATTATTTCTAAAACCTTTTTCGTGCTAGTGTTTGGCTCTTGCAGGGTCAATACTAGGTCATCTGCAAATGCTCTTAACTTATAATGTTTAGCTCCGACCTGCACTCCTTTAACCTGCTGGTCATTCCTAATCATATTCAGCAACACCTCCAGAACCGAAATAAAAAGTAATGGGGAGATTGGGCACCCCTGTCGTGTTCCTTTTTCTATCTTAAGCTCCTCAGTTATCACATTATTTACAATCAATTTGGCTTTTTGTTCAGAGTATATTGCAGCTATACCATTCTCAAAACCTTGTCCTACCCCCATCCCCTGAAGATTCTTTATCATAAAACTCCAGGAAATATTGTCAAAGGCTTTCTCCGCATCCACAAAAATCAATACTGCTTTAGTATTTATATTCACCTCTAACTTTTCCAAAATATCTATTATATTCCTTACATTGTCTGCTAGGTGTCTTTTTGGGAGAAAGCCTGCTTGATTCTTGTGAATCTTTTCCATCAACACTTTTTTAAATCTTTTTGCCAAAATGTCTGCAAAGATTTTGTAATCCACATTAAGTAGTGATATTGGGCGGTAGTTCTTCAGTTGAGTCTTCTCAGTCTCTGTCTTTGGTATGAGTGAAATATATGCTTCTTTCCATGATTCCGGTGCCTTTTTTCCCTCAAGAATCTCATTACAGACTTCCTTTAATGGTTGAATCAACCATTCCTTCAAGGATTTGTAGTATCTAGAAGTCAATCCATCTGGTCCTGGAGATTTGCCCAATTGCATATTCTGAATGGCATCCTCTATCTCTTGTTCTGTTATTCTCTGGTTCAGATCTATTTTACTTTGATGAGAGATTTTTGTAGTCCATATTTATCAAGGAATTTATCTATATCTTCTTCATTTTGTGGGCCTTGGGTATAAAGTTTTTTAAAATAACTCAGAAAGCAATTTCTAATTTCATTGGGTTTAGATATATTCTTTCCATCCACTTCTAAACTTGTAACTGTATTTAATTTCTGCCTTTTCTTCAATTGCCATGCCAGAAGTTTGCCAACTAACTTCTAGTCTCAACTCTGCCTTTTTGTCTTACTAACAGGCAGTTGAGGGATGGACCCCCACTCATTTGTCATCCGGCACAGAGCCACTTCCTTTTCTTCTTTTTTGGTCGTGTGATATTTTATTTATTTTATTTATTTATTTATTTATACTTTTCAAGTTTATACATTTCACTAATTTTACACATTTCACTGATTTTACAATCATTTTGACATTTCATAACTTGACTTCCTTCCCCCTCTTTCTGCGGTTCCTTAAATTTCTTTTTAATTAACTGAATTTGCTCATTTATTCATCTTCTTTAAATATATGCTCGTAAAACTGCAAAAACTTATGGAATATGCAGAAATGGCGAAGCTTACCGGAAGAATAAAAAATCAAGAATGAGAACATTGGCAGGATTATTATCCTTGCACTTCCAACATGTCTTACTACTCATCTTGTACGTTCTCCTGTCCTGTTTTTCAGATCGATGACAACCAGCCCCTGGAATATTTATCAGAGCTTCGACCTGTGACGATCGTCTTTGTGAATTTGCAGTTTGACGAAAGCGCCAACACTCAGCATCTCTGTAAGGCCATCCAGGATGCCAACACGAAGATTGCGGCGATCATATACCCGCTCAGTGGCAAGATTAACAAGGTCTTCATGTTTGACAAAGTGAGTCTCCTGCAGGCATGGTCCATATCAGCAAAGCATGGCAAGAGTTGGAGTTGGTACAGATCACTGTAGGATGGAAGGTCCTACAGACATTCTTTATATGATGTACTCATGTCATCAGGGTAGCTGTGGGCACTTTTGAGCTGTGCCCTCAGATAATAATAATAATAATAATAATAATAATAATAATAATAATAATAATAATTTATTTATTTATTTATACCCCGCCCATCTGGCTGGGTTTCCCTAGCCACTCTGGGCGGCTCCCAATAGAATATTAAAAACACGATAAAACATCAAACATTAACAACTTCTTGAAACAGGGCTGCCTTCAGATTGTCTTCTAAAAGTCTGATAGTTGTTTATTTCCTTGACATCTGATGGGATGATGTTCTACAGGGCGGGCGCCACTATCGAGAAGGCCCTTTGCCTGGTTCCCTGTAACCTCACTTCTCTCAGTGAGGACATAGCTGTCAACTGTTCCCTTTTTTTAAAAGGAAAATTCCCTTGTTCCAAATAGGATTCCTCGCAAGAAAAGGGAAAAGTTGACAGCTATGGTGAGGGAACCGCCAGGAGCCCTTGGTGCTGGACCTCAGTGGTCTGGGCTGAATGATGGGGGTGGTGACGCTCCTTCAGGTATACTGGGCCGAGGCCGTTTAGGGCTTTAAAGGTCAACACCAACACTTTGAATTGTGCTCGGAAACGTACTGAGCGCCAATGTAGGTCTTTGAGAAATTTTGTTGCAGTCATGTGGTTTGAGTAGCACATGATGAAAACTCCCGAGGCGGCAGCCCAGTGGGTGCACCTCTTGCCCCCAACGCGGACACAGTAACGTCGCTGGTAGGGGCACAGTTTTCGGCTAAATTACACCAGAATTATGAGAGATCTCGCAAGCGCACAAGATCGTGTGTAATTTGGGCATGCGGCAATATTGGCAGCACTCCTCTGCCAGCAGGAGGAGAAGTGGGGCTTGTGGCAACAGATATGGTGGCAGCGGCAGGGGGAAGTGGTACTTCCTGTATCGCCCAAGCAGTGAAACAGGATGTACCAACCCTGCTTCTGGGGTTGGCAGAGGTGTCAGTGGCAATGCCAACCAAACATGCCTCAGATTCCCTCCCTGCTCCACATTCTGCAACTGTTAACAGTGCAGTATTATTATTATTATTATTATTATTATTATTATTATTATTTGTATATTTTATTTTATTTATGATTTTCAGTTGTATACATTTCAATAATTTTACAATCATTTTAACATTTCAAAACTCAATTTCCTTCCCCTCTTTCTGCGGTTCCTTAAATTTATTTTTAATATCTTCTTAACTTGCTCATTTATTCATCTACTTTAAATATATATTATAAGAGTATGTTTTTAAAGTAGATGAATAAATGAGCAAATTAAGTTAGTTTTATAAAACTGCAGGTTATTACAATAATCCCGCCAATGCTCTTATCTATTTACAGTTTGTAAACATTCAATAAACCATTATTTTTTAAATAAAAAGTTTGCTATCTTGATTTCTTATCTTTCCGGTAAGTTTCGCCATTTTTGCATATTCCATAAGTTTTTGTATCCATTCTTCCTTTGCTGGGACTTCTTCTTCTTTCCATTTTTGGGCAAGTCACATTCTTGCCACTGTAGTCATATACATGAATAAATTTCTATACAGTTTGGGTAGTTCTGTCCCTATAATTCCCAAAAGGAATTAATACAGTGCAGTATTAATTAACACGTTCACTAACCCACCTTTCTTCCAAGAAAAGAAGAATCACCTTTCTTCCTCCCTCTCAGTTTACCCTCCCCAAAAGTCTACAAGGTAGGCTGAGAGGCAGTGATTGGCCAACATCACCCAGTGAGCGCCACGAATGAGCCAGGATTTGAATCATGGCAACATCACCCACAGAGCTGGTCGATGGCCAGTTGGTGTTAAGACATCCTCACTGCAAACCCTCTCTATCAGAACTAACCGCCAGTGATGAAAACATAGTGTTCTTCTATTTTATTGTATGGTTTACTTGACATTAGGTTTCCCTACTACAGTGATGAGTACGCCGGCTCCCTCGGCCAATAAAGTGAGATGAGTGCCGCAACCCCAGAGTCGGCCATGACTGGACCTAATGGTCAGGGGTCCCTTTACCTTTACCTACCTCGGGTTAAGAACTTAATTTGTTCTGGAGGTCCGTTCTTAACCTGAAACTGTTCTTAAGCTGAAGCACCACTTTAGCTAATGGGGCCATAGCCTGAAAATCTGCACACAGAAACCCTACATGCCTAAATATCTGCATTTTGCAAATGGCAATAAGCTGCTCTTATAACAACTTCTCCGATCTTCTTGCCCCTGCCCCCATAAGGGTTGCACATTGCTGTGCATCTTTGGCCTCCCTGGGGATAAACAGTCTGACGAAGGTGCAAATGCTCTGGACAGTGCCAATAAAATCCATGCTTTCTGTTCCACGGCTCTCATGAAAGTAAGGTAAGTGACTGAGTGGGCCGGGGATATATTTTTGGCAGGGTTACAGGTGCCACCCACACCAGAATCACCAACCCCGGCTTGCCACCCAACAGGACTGTCGACAACTCCACCCTCTTACTGCTTCCTGGCAATGCTTGTGCCACAGCCCTAGTTGAGCATTGTAAGAAACATGGCAGCTGGGATGTGGGTTCAATGCAACAGAGCAAGGTACTGGGAAATTAGGGCCCATCCAGTTTTGTGGAGGTGTCTGGCATGCCCTAGATTGCAGCAGGCAGTGGGTGGCCCTTGTCTCCCACTCCTCTATTGCAGTACTGTTTGATTCGAGTGGAAAGAGGTGGAAGTGTAGATGTGGGTGAGGAGTAGAGGCCCCAGCCCAGACATGTCACTCAGTGCTGAAGGGAAAGGACTGTGCTAGGGGAAGGAAAGCAAACCAGAATGGCTGAGGAACCCTGAGGAGTTTCGGCGGTTGGGTGTGGTTGGCTGGTCTCTTTCTGCTCCAAAGGGGAGGAGACTGACTGTTTTCTGTTTTCCAAAAGGCATTCCAATGAGGAGCACGACAGCATTGCTGAATCCTGGTGCAAGCTTAGTTGGATATAATAGGAAGCCAGTATAATAAATGAAGGGACGCGGGTGGCACTGTGGGTTAAACCACAGAGCCTAGGACTTGCCGATCAGAAGGTTGGCGGTTCAAATCCCTGTGACGGGGTGAGCTCCCGTTGCTCAGTCCCTGCTCCTGCCAACCTAGCAGTTTGAAAGCACGTCAAAGTACAAGTAGATAAATAGGTACCACTCTGGCGGGAAGGTAAACGGCGTTTCCGTGCGCTGCTCTGGTTCGCCAGAAGTGGCTTAGTCATGCTGGCCACATGACACGGAAGCTGTATGCTGGCTCCCTCGGCCAATAAAGCGAGATGAGCGCTGCAACCCCAGAGTCGGCCATGACTGGACCTAATGGTCAGGGGACCCTTAGTGAAATATACTCAGAGTCGAGTGTGAATTTCATGCTCTTTATTCAGCTCATAGTAGCAATGAATGAAAGTTTCCCCAAAACGTCTAGCTATATATACATTATTTACACAATGGGCCCCGTGTGATTGGCTACGGTAATTCTGGGCTACTCCTGTAGGCCAATCAGGTTGCTGATTCACTTCATGCAGGAGCCTGATTGGCTGCTCCTGCAGGCCAATCAGGTCGCTGATTCACTTCCACCTGGAGCTGGATTGGGTGACTCCTGCGGACCAATCAGACTGCTGCATTCTGGATCCTATTGTTCTAGCATTCAGCTCAGTACATAACAATAAGGCATACAGCCAAAATCGCCAGTTGATCCAGGACTCTTGAAACCGATTTTTGCCAATTCCCCCTGCCCACCCCAATGATGCTTGTAATTGCTGAACCAGTTCCAAACGGAGTTCCCATTATGGTTTAAGAAAAAGTGGGCCTCATAGGTCCAGGAAAGGTGTTGGCTATCTGACACCTTGGCCTGCAGGGTCAACTCTAATTCTGTCCTTAGAATTTGAAAAACCTAAAGGCGGGAGTCAACATCACACTGTTACGAATGTTTAATCTATGTAATTGTATTCATTTACCCAGATAGCAAGGCAGAGGGTGAGACCTGCTCTGGACAAGTAGAGATGGTTTCATTGAGGGAGGTTCTCGGGGTTCCTGGCTTTATGCAGTTTTGCATTTTTGTGTGGACCCCCCAGAACTGAACCCTCGCATAAGCTGCAAGTTCCCTGTAGGTGCAATATTGCATACCGCGGGAATGAAAAGCACTCGCCAGAGACAAAAGGTTCATACAATGCTACAGAACTGGGCTGGGGAGCACATCGACACGGGTGGACGTGGGTGGCACTGTGGTCTAAACCACTGAGCCTCTTGGCTTTCCAATCAGAAGGTCAGTGGTTCGAATCCCCGTGATGGGCTGAACTCCCACTGCTCTGTCCCAACTCCTGCCAACCTAGCAGTTTGAAAGCACACCAGTGCAAGTAGATAAATAGGTACCACTGTGCCGGGAAGGTAAACAGCATTTCCGTGCACTCTGGTTTCTGTCACGGGGTCCTGTTGCACCAGAAGCGGTTTAATCCTGCTGGCCACATGACCCGGAAAGCTGTCTGCGGACAAACACTGGCTCCCTCGGCCTGAAAGCGAGATGAGCACCACAACCCCATAGTCGCCTTTGACTGGACTTAACCGTTCAAGGGTCCTTTACCTTTACCTTTTCTCTCTCTTGTGCTTTCAGACTTGTCTCCATTGGAGTCACCAGTGGGCCAGTTTTCTGTGGAGTAGTTGGCCATCGTTTGAGACATGAATACACAGGTATCGTGACTGTAGCCTCTTGTACCTTCCCTGTGTTCAAGGCCAGTTTTATGTATGTTGGTGCAGTAAGTGAAAGATTCGCTCCCACCTCAGTGCTTCCCAGCAGTGCTTCCTTGTTCGCCCCCTCATGGCCTGTGCTTTGGCAAACTCCCAGCACCGGCTTCCTTCACCTGCAGACTCCTGCTCCGGTTACCGCTGCCTGGAGCTTTTGCCTTGCTGCTCAACCCAACTAGTGTTCCATCAGTGTGGTGTAGTGGTTAAGAGCGGTGGACTCGTAATCTGGTGAACCGGGTCCGCGTCTCCGCTCCTCCACATGCAGCTGCTGGGTGACCTTGGGCTAGTCACACTTCTCTGAAGTCTCTCAGCCCCACTCACCTCACAGAGTGTTTGTGGTGGGGGAGGAAGGGAAAAGGAGAATGTTAAGCCGCTTTGAGACTCCGTAGGGTAGTGATAAAGCGGGATATCAAATCCAAACTCTTCTTCTTCATCATCATCTCTTGGTGGGTTGCCTTCTCTAGGTTGCTGCTTCTAAGGATTCTCCCGTACCGCACAACTGAGCAGAAATCTCGCTGCTTATGATGGGGTGGAAAGTTTGCATGCTATGAAGGACTTGCTCACAAATTCATTGACAGCTGCACAAATTATGATAGCTAGGAAGTGGAAGGGGCAAGCAGCATATAAAATGGAAAACTGGTATAAAGCGGTGTGCGATAAAGTTATTAATGATAAATTAACATGTGCTATTAAGGTAAAACGGTGATTATGCAGGAGAAATGATTTTGAAGGGTATTTGTAGAACTTGTACTGTTAAAATGGAAAGGGGTTAAACCATTGTAAGAGGTGTTGAAATTTTGGGAGGTTGGATAGTTACAATGGAATGGTCTTGGGGGTGGGGTGCACATTTCATTCTTATTTATGTATGATTATTACTTTGTCAAAATAATGTAATAAATTAAAAATAATAACAATAATTTAAAAGCAAAATTTATATACCAAAAAAAGGGGGGGGAGAATCTGGCTGCTGAAATCCTTTTGGCTTATAGCATTGGTTTTTCCCGTGTCCTCTATTTATTTATTTATTTCCCCGTGACCTCTATTTATGCAAATGTTTAAGCCTCCAAAGTAGCTTACATTAAAAGAAGCATATAGTAGCAACAAAATAGTTCAATAATAAAAAAACCAAATAAAGTGTTAGAATGCACAGCAACATTAAAGAAACAACAAGATGCAGTGCTGATCCACACTTCTGTTCACCCTGCTGCTTTCTCCTGGGAAAATCCCGTGGTTTAGCATGGAATTCAAGCCCTAAACGGCCTCGGTCCTGTATACCTGAAGGAGCGTCTCCACCCCCATCCTTTAGCCCGGACACTGAGGTCCAGTACCGAGGGCCTTCTGGCAGTTCCCTCATTGCGAGAAGTGAGGTTACAGGGAACCAGACAGAGGGCCTACTCGGTAGTGGCACCCGCCCTGTGGAACGCCCTCCCTTCAGATGTGAAGGAAATAAGCAGCTATCTTCTCTTTAAAAGACATCTGAAGGCAGCCCTGTTTAGGGAAGTTTTTAATATTTAATGCTGTATTGTTTTTAACACTTGATTGGGAGCCACCCAGAGTGGCTGGGGAAACTCAGCCAGATGGGTGGGGTATAAATAATAAATTATTATTATTATTATTATTATTATTATTATTATTATTATTATTATTATTACTACTACTACTATTATTATAAACACGAATTGCCATTTGCTCTGATTTAGTGCTAAAGAGCGGTGGGTTTTTCTGTGGGGAAGCTCTGCAGCAAAGGCAAAACCACTACAGTGGTACCTCGGGTTACATACACTTCAGGTTACATACGCTTCAGGTTACAGACCCTGCTAACCCAGAAATAGTGCTTCAGGTTAAGAACTTTGCTTCAGGATGAGAACAGAAATTGTGCTCTGGTGGCGTGGCGGCAGCAGGAGGCCCCATTAGTTAAAGTGGTGCTTCAGGTTAAGAACAGTTTCAGGTTAAGAACGGACCTCCGGAACGAATTAAGTACTTAACCCGAGGTACCACTGTACTGGAAAAGCAGAAAACCGCTTGGCCCCTGTGCTTTCTAAGCAAGGAACTCACAGAAGTATGGGTGAGCCCTGAGACATCCTGAGTAAGCGGCCACAAGGAAAGAGACTCGGTGCCCTAACAGCCAGACCACACCTTTAAATTGCCCTGCTGCCACTTCTACACAGATTGTTTGGCACTATGGGCGCTCCCTCCCAGAGAGAGTCCCCCATCAGGTCTTGTTGAGACCTGGTGCTGTGAACGGAGAGAATCAAGCAGGTTTCTCTGAGACGGGCCTGTGGGACTTCTGTAATTTATTTGCCCACTCTGCTGTGCCACAGGACGTTCCATCTTTTGGTCTGGCAGAAATGTTGTCCAGCGCAAGGCGGTGCTTGAGGTGGCCCAGATGTAATGCCGCTCCTGTTTCTCTGTGTTAAGAGACCAGTTAGAAGAAAGACAAAGTATGTTTTGTCCTTATTGTTTCTCCTGTGACACAGTCATCGGCCGGAAAGTGAACCTTGCGGCCCGCATGATGATGTATTATCCTGGGGTAGTGACCTGCGATGCTGTCACTTGCGTCAAATCCAAGTTACCATCCTATTTCTTTGAAGAGCTCCCGTTAATTGAGATGAAAGGTGTTCTGAACCCTGGGACAGTCTATAAATTCCTTGGGGTCACGGAGAAAACGTAAGTATTACCTTCGCGTGCAGCCGGGCAATAAAATGGGTTTTTTTTTTTTTGTCATTATGGGTTACTAAAACCCTGGTGTGGGACACTTTTGAATGAAGAATGGGCTCAGGGAACGAAAGCAGCTCCCAGTTTGAGTTGAAGAACTTACGAGGTTTCCTTTTCTTGTCCTTAATCCTTTAGAATGATTTACAAAGCATATCTGAGCCGAGAGAGATGCGAATATTACCCTTTGCTGGGTAGGTGACATATTCTTCATTCAGCGACATTGATGATGATCAATTTATTGGAGCAAGAGAGAGAAAAGGCTATGGATCTGTGATATTCAAATGGTTACGTATTATAATCAGCTCTGTTATTGATGTTCCGGTGCAATTGCTGTTGCCTTTGTAGCCCAAACAGCACCACCCATGCAGAAAGAGGTACCAATAAGGGGGGGGGCAAGGTTTGCAGACATAACCCCCACCCTCCCTCCTCCCCAAAAGGAATCTTAAGAGGGGAACTTTCAAAAGCTGCAATGCCCGAGGGCAGTGATGGCCAAACTTGGCCCTCAGCTGTTTTGGGACTACAACTCCCACCATCCCTAGCTAACAGGACCAGTGGTCAGGGATGATGGGAATTGTAGTCCCAAAACAGCTGGAGGGCCAAGTTTGGCCATCACTGCCCTAGAAGATCAAATGATATCATTAAGTACCAAGAATACAATCCAGCCAGATTTCAGAGAGGGAGCCATGCTAACCCGTAGAAACAAAACAAAACAAAACAAAACCAGACCAGACCAGACCAGACCAGACCAGACCAGACCAGACCAGTGACATCTTAATCAAGTGAGAGTTAAAAGATTTTGAAACCCCACTAGGCTTAACTGTCCCTCTGAGAGCAAAGGCTGCCACATGCTTAAGCTTAGACTTGATTATGTATTTCATGTAAAATGGCTTATTTTTAAAATCTGGCAGCGTTTATTTATATACACTATGTTTGCATCTTACGTGGGGCTTTCGTTCTGGGGATAGCATGTAGAAATAGTGCGTCGTCAGCAAAAACCAGGACATGGTCCATAAAGAACACACTTCATAATATCCTGCCACATCCTCAGAATATTTTTCTCTGCCTCTTTGCTCTCCATCCTCCCACCTCCTTTTTCGACTCCTGAGTCCTTCCCAACACAAGCTTCTTAAAGCGTAGACTTGCAGCTAACAGCACGTAAGAAGTGGGTTATGGGTTTAACAAACAAACAAACAAACAAACAAACAAACAAACAAACACAAATAAGCACTCAAAAACTCAGGTGTAGGACAGCACTGAAATGTTAGCACCAGTGGAAGCTATTTGCATTCAGAACGCAAATTTAAATTTTGAATTCAAAATATGAAGAATTTCATGAATATTTGTTTGAGTCGTGCGAGGCTTCCTCTTTTGAAGACGTCCCACTGGCTTTATTTGCTTCCCCTAGGCCGCAAGAAGGAGACAGACCTCTTTGAAAACTTGCTGAGTGATTTCAAAGCCGACAGAAAAAGCCGCATTATCATCTACGAAGGCCTCATGGGATATGGAAAAAGCCAGCTGTTGGCTGAGATTGCCTTCTTAGGACAAGACACAGGCCACAGGTTAATGCTTTTAACCGTACTTTGCTGTGTATTCCAAACTCTCTTGACTCAGGGCTGGGCAGCAAGAGTCTTTAACTCCAGAAACACTTCCCTGTCCCCCATGTAAGCAGGATCTATTGGTAAAACCAATTTGGTGTTTCGCAACTTCCTGACTAGTTGCAGGACCTTAGCCACACCTAGCAGAGTAAACGCAGAATCCACGGAAGCAATTGGCAACTTGGCTTCAGACAGGATAGACGAAGCAGGAACCAGGAACTTGTAGTTAGGTGTTTATTATATACAGTGGACTATTTACAGGAACAGAACACGGATCTTTTGCTAGCTCTCTCTGACACGACTCACAACTCCTACACTGACACACAGAACTCTGAACCTCTGAACTAACACATTCCAGTTAGTAGGCCATAAATTAATTGAGAGCCAGTGTGATGTAGTGGTTAAGAGCGGTGCACTCGTAATCTGGTGAACTGGGTTCGCGTCTCCGCTCCTTCACATGCAGCTGCTGGGTGACCTTGGGCCAGTCACACTTCTCTGAAGTCTCTCAGCCCCACTCACCTCACAGAGTGTTTGTGGTGGGGGAGGAAGGGAAAGGAGAATGTTAGCCGCTTTGAGACTCCTTCGGGTAGTGATAAAGCGGGATATCAAATCCAAACTCTTCTAATTATCACTCCCTTGAAAGAGCTTGACCAATCAGGGAGCTGTCTCCATGCCTCTGTTATCACCAGGCAGACTTACTCCTTCAGATTGCCTTGTGGCTGTCTGCCAAACGTTAATTGACTCTGTGTGAGTAGCTGCACGTACACAGTTTCCCAACAGGATCCGTTCCAGAAGCCCTTCCCAGCTGTTACTTTCTGGTGGGCAACAGCCACCTGTGCCCTTGTATGTTCGGGCAGAGGAGGCTAACCACCCAGTTCAAGGGTCTGATCTTCCCCCACCCAGCAGCAAATGTTTCTCCATCGGTCGTGGAAGCGGCAGTGAAACCTTTTCACCAATAGTTCTTGTCATCATTCAGGGTTGTGGCGATGGAGCTCACAAAGATCAATGTGTGGCAGAACTTCTTTGTCATCCGGACCCTCATGGCTATGTTTCTGGGGATTGATACTTGCAAGACCTACGATGCAAGACAGTATATCCTTGTGACCAGAATCCGAGGAGTAGTTCAGGAAGAGTATTTCTGCCTTCTCAACAATCTCTATCATGTTAAGGTAAAGATGCAAGCAGGCAAGACCTTTATCTCTTCTGAATTCATTTTCCTGGTGCTTGGTGGTTTTGTTTGTGAAATATACTGGGAGTCCTGTAGTGATTTCATGCTCTTTATTGCAGCTTGTAAAACAGTGATTGAATTGTCCCTCCAAACCTCAGGCTTTTATATACACTATTTACACAATGAGTCCCGTCTGATTGGCTGATTCTGCTTCCCTCCTGGAGCCTGATTGGTCTTTTCCTGCAGGCCAATCAGCTGTTGCATTCTAGGATCCTACCAGCCTAATAGGCTGATTAACTTCTTCCTGGAGCCTGATTGGTCTTCTGCTGCAAGCCAATCAGTTGTTGCATTCTAGGATCCTACTTGCTATTGTTCTAGGATCCAAGGTTAGTACATAACAGTTTGTTTGTTCATTTGTTTTACGTATTCCGATAGCACAAACTAATATAAAATACATAGTGTAAAAAAAAAAAGCTGCAACCATGTTGGTTTGCAGAAGATTCCCGTTCTTCTCAGGGAACTCTGTAAATTATATCTCATTGAGAGGAATGAGATATAATCTCTCTTAAGAACCGTTAAACTACATTTTACAGGATACTCTGGGGGAAGCCATGACTGATTAAAATTGTATGGTGTTGTTTTAAATGGGCAGGTGGCACCTCAGGCAGTTTCTGGGGTGGCAAACCAGTAGCACTAATACACTACAGAAGGCAATGAAGAAGTGAATAAACACTCCTATTGTGGCGGCTAAATGAATTTGACACTCCCACCAATGTTTTCTTCCTTGTTCCTGACTGTAAAATCAAAGAGCCCTGAATAGTCCAGCCCCCAGTATTTCAGGCAACTCAGCTAAAGCATCCAGGACAGATGCTCATTGAAACAGCGATCCTAGGCCATTTACCTTCCCGCCACAGTGGTACCTATTTATCTACTTGCACTGGCGTGCTTTTGAACTGGTAGGTTGGCAGGAGCTGGGACAGAGCAACAGGAGCTCACCCTGTTGCATGGATTTGAACCGCCGACCTTCCGAGCAGCAAACCCAAGAGGTTCAGCAGTTTAGACCACAGCGCTGCCAGCATCCCAAAAATGGTAAATGGCGTTTCTGTGTGCTCTGGTTTCCATCACGGTGTTCCTTTGCGCCAGAAGCAGTTTAGTCATGCTGGCCACAAGACCCGGAAAGCTGTCTGTGAACAAACGCTGGCTCCCTCGGCCTGAAAGTGAGATGAGCGCCGCAACCCCATAGTCACCTTTGACAAGGTGACTTTGACTGGACTTGACCTTCTAGGGGTCTTTTACCTTTACCTATAATGTATATAGAGGGATGCGGGTGGCGCTGTGGGTTAAACCACAGAGCCTAGGGCTTGCCGATCAGAAGGTCGGCGGTTCGAATGCCCATGACGGGGGGAGCTCCTGTTGCTCGGTCCCAGCTCCTGCCAACCTAGCAGTTTGAAAGCACGTCAAAGTGCAAGTAGATAAATAGGTACCACTCCGGTGGGAAGGTAAACGACGTTTCCGTGCACTGCTCTGGTTCGTCAGAAGCAGCTTAGTCATGCTGGCCACATGACCCAGAAGCTGTACGCCGGCTCCCTCGGCCAGTAAAACGAGATGAGCACCGCAACCCCAGAGTCATCCGCGACTGGACCTAATGGTCAGGGGTCCCTTTACCTTTATAATGCATATACAACACACATAAAACACTTTTTCCTCATCAGTCCCAAGTTCACAAGGTGAGAAACCAACACCTTGAGGTTTCAAATGGATTTGAGGTTGCTTCTTACCATAGGCACTTCTGACAAGGAATGTAGAACTCTCTGTTGCTAACCAAAGCACTGTGTGATTTCTTTGGTTTCTCTGGTCAGTTCCCCACATCAGAAGAGGTTTCCAAAATGAGTAATGAAGCAAAGAATGAAAAGCTGGAGAACATTCTCGTCAATATTCTAAAGAATGTAAGTGATACTTTTCATCATGCAGAACTGCAAGGTGGGCAGTAGTTATTATGTTCTTGGCAGCTCCCAATAAACTGGCTGGGTGATATACAACTAGGTCCTACTCAGAGTAGGCTCAATGAAATCAATGGACCTAAGTATGTCCATTGATTTCATTGGGTCTGCTCCAAGTATGGCTAACACCTATTGTAGGGTTTCCCCAACTTGGGTTTCCAGCTGTTTTTGGAATACAGTTCCCATCATCCCTGACCACTGGTCCTGCTAGCTAGGGATGATGGGAGTTGTAGTCCCAAAACACCTGGCGATCCAAGTTCAGGAAAGCCTGAGGTCCCAACCAAAGAAGAGTGGCAACTTAAGTTGACAGACTATGCACAACTTGCAGACTTAACATATAGAATAAGAGAACAAGAAGAACATACGTTTAGAGAAGATTGGAAAACGTTTATTGAATATATGGGGAATAATTGTGTACAGCTGACAACGCTGGCAGCATTAAGATAAATTCAACAGTGTGAACAAGTTTTGATGGATGTAATAATGGAATACTGAATGGTTTAATTTTTGTAAAATATGCAGGGATTCTATGATATCTGAAATGAACCATGGAAAGAGAAGAAGGGAAGTCAGTGATATCTTTAGGATGTAAAATGAGTATTTGAAATTGTAAAATAGAAAATTTAATAAAAACCATATATAAAATTATATATGAAAAGGAAAGACTGACCTACTGATCTCTATCACATTTACTTTCCCACGACAACCTCAGAACCATCTGCATTCAGTTGATCCCTTAATCTTTCTGGTTTGAAGCAGATTCTGTAGAACCAGTCCATGGTATATGGGAATCTATCTCTAGGCAAACCCATAGATCCTAACCACTGAAACATGGCTGATCAACTGGGTCCCTATGACATGGATCTGATTTTCAATACAATCTTTATCTCACCCCTGACAGCCACACAATTTTTTAAAAAAGAATATTTATTGAATTTTATAACAAATAAAAATACAAATCTCAATCATATTATATACATTTATTCTCCCCCCCTTCCCCCTGAACTTCCCTCAGCTCCCCCTCTTTTGTCTGATTTTATTTCTTGTCTCCTGCATTTTTTATATAAAATAACTTCCCTTATCATTTCTCTAAATTATATGTTACTGTAATAAAGTTGTGAACGTTTATTCAAAACCTGCCAATGAATCCAGTCCGTTTTGTTGTTTCTGCAAATAGACTGTAAATGGTTCCCAGACTCTTTTAAAGTCCTTTTTGTCCTCTTGTAGTTTATCTGTTAGCTTTGCTAATTCTGCATAGTTCATCAGTTTTTCTTGCCATTGTTCCTTTGATGGTATCTGTTCTGTCTTCCAATGTTGTGATTCTAGCCGCTGTTGTGGCATACATAAACAGTGTCCATTTTTCTTTTGGCAGCTCTTGATTTGAAATACGCAACAAGAAGGCTTCAGGATGTTTAACAAAATTCATTTTAAACCTTTTTTTCAATTCATTATATATCATTTCCCAATTTTTTAAAATACTTTTACATTCCCACCACATATGATTAAAAGTTCCTTCCTTTTCCTTGCATCTCCAACATCTATTATTTTCTTTCCTAAACATCTTAGCCAATTTCACTGGTGTAATATATCATCTAGGGACGCGGGTGGCGCTGTGGGTAAAAGCCTCAGCGCCTAGGGCTTGCTGATCGAAAGGTCGGCGGTTCGAATCCCCACGGCGGGGTGCGCTCCTGTTGTTCAGTCCCAGCGCCTGCCAACCTAGCAGTTCGAAAGCACCCCCGGGTGCAAGTAGATAGATAGGGACCGCTTACCAGCGCAGTGTTTCCCAACCTTGGGCCTCCAGCTGTTTTTGAACTACAATTCCCATCATCCCTGACCACTGGTCTTGCTAGCTAGGGATGATGGGAGTTGTAGTCCAAAAACAGCTGGAGGCCCAAGGTTGGGAAACACTGTACCAGTGGGAAGGTAAACGGCGTTCTGTGTGCTGTGCTGGCTCGCCAGATGCAGCTTTGTCACGCTGGCCACATGACCCGGAAGTGTCTCCGGACAGCGCTGGCCCCCCGCCTCTTGAGTGAGATGGGCGCACAACCCTAGAGTCTGTCAAGACTGGCCCGTACGGGCAGGGGTACCTTTACCTTTACCTTTAATATATCATCTATACATCATTTTCATGTAATTCTCTCTTAACAGCCACAGACATTTTAATCATGGTGTGGAAACTGCTTTGGTCATGGTTTCAGCTGTAAGGAGGGGGGGAAGATTTTTTTTTTTTTAGTTTTACAATGACTAGTGCAGTATTAGGAAAAATAGTTGTAACTACAGGAAAGAGAGGGGACCATCAGGTTGCAGGGTGGTTTTGAAAATATTACAGTTGCTTTTTTAAAAACCAGCAGCAGCAGCATGCAAACTGGATTAAGAAAATTCAGTTTTCTGCCTCTGGGTACATTCTTTGGAAGAGTGGGCTATAAATTCGATAAGTAATAAAATAAGAACAACAACAAAAAATATATGTAGTGACTAAATCAAAGGCTAAACAGTGAGTTTATTTATGAGAACTCTTCTATAATGCGGGTGGCGCTGTGGGTTAAACCACAGAGCCTAGGACTTGACGATCAGAAGGTTGGCGGTTCGAATCCCCGCGACGGGGTGAGCTTCCGTTGTTCAGTCCCTGATCCTGCCAACCTAGCAGTTCGAAAGCACATCAAAGTGCAAGTAGATAAATAGGTACCGCTCTGGTGGGAAGGTAAATGGCATTTCCGTGCGCTGCTCTGGTTTGCCAGAAGCGGCTTAGTCATGCTGGCCACATGACCCGGAAGCTGTACGCCGGCTCCCTCGGCCAGTAAAGCGAGATGAGTGCCACAACCCCAGAGTCAGCCATGACTGGACCTAATGGTCAGGGGTCCCTTTACCTTTACCTTTACCTTTATAATGCCTTCCAGGCAGTGTAAAGAAAAAATGAAACAATTTAAAATGCGTACCAGACACGAGCCATCTAAGATAAAAGCTCCTGGTAACGCAGGGAAGAGTTAAAAAGTACAGCTCCCTGCAGGAGTTATCACTTCATTTTTTGTGGGGTTTGTTGTCATTTTAGGCAGTGATGAAAGAAGTTCTCATTTTTGTCATTGATGAAGCTCAGTTCATGGACCCGGCCTCGTGGGACTTCCTGGAGAACTTGCTAAGCGATATTGGTATCTTTGTGGTCATGTCGTTGTCTCCATTGCCCCGCAAGGGGAGACTGCCTTGCGCTGCCGCAGCGCGGCTCATGAGCAGCGAATACACCACCTACGTTCAGCTAAGGGAGTTGACCCCTTCAGTCATCGTTCAGAAGGCCTGCCAAGATCTTGGGGTGGTCAGCATTGCCAGGGAGCTTGAGACGTAAGTATGAAGTGCTTGTCCAGTGGATCTTTTTAATTTTTCTCTTGAACCATTTTGTTATTGTTGTTTAGTCGTTTAGTCATGTCCGACTCTTCGTGACCCCATGGACCAGAGCACGCCAGGCACTCCTGTCTTCCACTGCCTCCTGCAGTTTGGTCAGACTCATGTTGGTAGCTTCGAGAACACTGTCCAACTATCTCGTCCTCTGTCCCCTTCTCCTCCATCTTTCCCAGCATCAGGGTCTTTTCCAGGGAGTCTTCTCTTCTCATGAGGTGGCCAAAGTATTGGAGCCTCAGCTTCACGATCTGTCCTTCCAGTGAGCACTCAGGGCTGATTTCCTTAAGAATGGATAGGTTTGATCTTCTTGCACTCCATGGGACTCTCAAGAGTCTCCTCCAGCACCATAATTCAAAAGCATCAATTCTTCGTCGATCAGCCTTCTTTATGGTCCAGCTCTCACTTCCATACATCACTACAGTGGTACCTCGGATTAAGTACTTAATTCGTTCCGGAGGTCCGTTCTTAACCTAAAACTGTTCTTAACCTGAAGCACCACTTTAGCTAATGGGGCCTCCTGCTGCCGCCACGCTGCTAAAGCACGATTTCTGTTCTCATCCTGAAGCAAAGTTCTTAACCTGAAGCACTATTTCTGGGTTAGCGGAGTCTGTAACCTGAAGCGTATGTAACCTGAAGCGTATGTAACCTGAGACTAAGAGCACATATTGATATAGGAATGTATTAGATAATATGTAAACAAATATACAATAATAAGAGCACATTCATTTGTAAAAAAGGAATATGCAACGGGAAAGACAGGAAGTCTAGTGTGTTGGTATGTATATGATTTGGGGGGGGGATTGTTTTCCCTCTCTCTTTGTTGTTTCTTTTTTGTTTCATTTTCTTTCTAGGTATATAAAATTTGTATATAATTGTTGTATACATGTTGGAAATTATATTATAGTAAGTCCTGTAATGTAATATGACAACGTTTACTGATGTAATATAAGAAAGTTAACAAATAAATAAAATGCAAATTAAAAATAATAATAATTAAAGTGTCCCCGGATTCATTGAAAAAAATCTGGTAACCTTATCCTAGAAGTCACTTGTGACTCTCTGCCCCCAGGTTCTTAATACAAAGAAGCCACGGGAACCCACTGTACTGCGAGGAACTCCTGCGGAATCTCCACTTAAACAACGTCCTTCAGTTCCACATGCTAGAGGAAGACGAAGAGAGAGAAGACGAGTGGGACAACCTTTTCAGTAAGTGGCTGCTTATTAACTGGCGTGGATTTCTGTGCCAATTCTCCTGTAGAATGGCCGGCGCTCGGTGCTGGCAATGGCTCTCCCATTGTGGCAGTATCCTAACATCTCCTTTAGGAAAGGCTCAGTGACACACAGCTGGCCTGCAATGGCAGCAGGAGCCGGCCGTGCAACAAGACGCAGACCAGCAGATTTTGTAGGGAAATCCAAGAGGAGTCACTGCTTACCGGGGAGCAGGGGAGTCGCAAGGGGTACCCACAGAAACACCAGGTCTTCAGAATGCTCAATCTGAGGTTTTTTCGGGGTTCCACGACACTCTCGCGGTCACCCCAATCTTCAAAGCGCTCGGGTTCTTTCAACCGAAAGAACTCCCATCCGCCATTAATTGCGCGGCCACCCGGAAGTCCGGTCTAGCTTCCCATTTTAGGGAAGTTTTTAACATTTGATGTTTTATCGTGTTTTTAATATTCTGTTGGGAGCCGCCCAGAGTGGCTGGGGAAACCCAGCCAGATGGGCGGGGTATAAATATTATTATTATTATTATTATTATTATTATTATTATTATTACCCTGCTCAGTAGTGACTAAGCTTTTATATCCATTCTTCCTTTGCTGGGACTTCTGCTTCTTTCCATTTCTGGGAGAGTAACATTCTTGCTGCTGTAGTCGCATACATGAATAAGTTTCTATACAGTTTAGGTACTGTAGTTCTGTCCCTATAATTCCCAATAGAAAAGCTTCTGGTTTTTTTTACAAATGTTGTTTTAAACATCCTTTTCAATTGATTATATATCATTTCCAGGTAAGCTTTAACCTTACTACAAGACCACCCCATATGATAAAAAGAACCTTCTTTCTCTTTACATTTCCAACACTTATTTGATTGAGATTTATACATTTTTGACAATTTACTTGGTGTTAGATACCATCGGTATATCATTTTCATATCATTTTCTCTCTGATTATAATATGCTGTAAATTTTATATCCCTATTCCACAATCGTTCCCACGCTTCCATGTCTATATTATGACCAATATCTATTGCCCAATGTTTCATTGAGGATTTTACTTGCTCATCCTTTGTCCCCCATTCCAATAATATTTTACACATTTTAGACAGCACTTTTACATTACATTCCAACAGGTCTCTCTCCAGTTGTGATATTTGTTCCCCAAACCCTTGAAAACACGGTATTTAAACCCTGTTATCTCGTTGTTCTTTCTCCGTGCAGCTATTACTGCTCTCAAGACTCAAACCTCCAGGACCTCCAGTGAGTCGGATTCATACATTTGCACCATCACACAGAACGTGAAGATGCACAACATAATGCTCCCTCCGACATTAAAAGGTGAGGCATTGGGCCCGTCTCTGTGAAATCCTTCCTCCTGAAGTATGTACAGCATGGGACGTTTGGCTTTTTATAAAAGTTATATTTTAAAACCTTTTTCAGTTTGTTATATATTGTGTCCCAGAAGGCTTTCACTTTAGAACAGGTCCACCACCTACGGAGGAAATTCCCTGAGAGGGGTTTTTAGCCAGCTGAGTATCTTTGTACAAATTATAGAAGTCAAGGATTTTAGACAGAATATCCAGCTGACATTTGATTGTGCTATTCATCCTTCAGCGGCATTTTTAATGTTGGCCTGTTTTCTCACTTCATGACTTAATTCCCCCCCCCGCCCCCGTCTAGGGATTGCTCTGGCTGAGTTGGACAACATGAACCCTTCTGAACAGATGGTGGTGAAATGTGCAGCTATTATTGGTGTGACCTTCTCTACAGAGTTGCTGTTTCACATCCTCCCTGAATGGACCAAGATGAAGATGAACCAGACCTTGGCAGCCCTGGTGGAATCTCACATCTTCAAGTGCTTTGGGGAAAGGAAAGAAATGAACACCAACCAAATTCAGGATGAACTTTCTAATGAGCTCTGCTTCTCCCCCAAAGCTGTGAAATCAATGGGGCAAGAGTCCGGTAAGCACATTCCTAGGAAACTGATGCTTTCCAGAATATTCCAAGTTGGTTACTCAAAAGGAAAAGGGTGATTTCACAAGATCTTGGGTGTTTCTATATGTGCATTTCATGTCGAACTGGTAATGTATATGTACTGTATTTTTCACTCTATAGGACGCACTTTCCCCCTCCAAAAATTAAGGGGAAATGTGTATGCATCCTATGGAGCGAATGCAGGCTCCTTGGCTTCAGCGATAGCAACGCGAAGCCTCCGAAGCGCAGAGGGAGCGCTCCCTCCGCGCTCCGGAGGCTTCGCGTTGCTTTCGCTGAAGCCTGGAGAACAAGAGGGGTCGGTCTCCAGGCTTCAGGGATAGACTCTCCTGGCTTCAGCAAAAGGAACCTGAAGCCTCTGGAGCGCAGCGGGAACTCGCACTGCACTCCAAAGGCTTCAGGTGCTCCTGGCTTCAGCAGAGAGGGAGAGCTACGCGGCACCCAAGCGGGAGGAGAAATGGAAGGGGCTCCGTTTCTCCTGCCGCTTCGCTGAAGGTGCACTGAGCAGAGAGGGGGATATTTTTTTTCTTGTTCTCCCCCTCTAAAACAAGGTGCGTCCTATGGTCGGATGCATCATATAGAGCAAAAAATGTTAGGATATTTCCGTTCCACCTTAAAAGGGAGCAGGCTGTGAGTCACAGAGTCTGCATATTTCCTGTTACAGGATGTTTATGTTTGCTATTGCTTTCGTTTTCTCTGTCTGTGCTTGAATGCTGAAGCAGACGGTCATGTCTTTCCTTTGTTCTGACCAACGTTGAATAAACTGTAAATATGCTCTCCTGCTGTGCATCTTTTGCTGTGTGGATTCTGCTGAAAGAGTGTGCACCAGCCTAGGAATGTGGCAATCTATTTCTAAGGCTTTGTGCCGCTAATTGCTGATACTGCGTGACTGCGTGACTACGGGAGGCCGATGGATCGTCCGGCAGTTGGCTTGAAGGCTCAAATGGACGTTATCTCCCTGGCAGTATCCCAACAACAAGGTTTCGGGCCCAGATTCACGGCACTTATAGGAGAGTAAAGCTGCGACAGACTGCTGAGGTACGTGTTGGAAAAGCGAAAGCAGAGGCTTTTCTGTGGGCTGCGGCAAGAGTCTCAGAACTCCGGCTGGCTTAATTGGCCTGGGAGCTGAGCCAAGAAGGCTTCGTGATTAATGGGAGCCGAGATAAGAAGTTTTTGAAGGCATAAAGGCTCACGGCTCAAGTAAAAAGATGGAATGGAGTTTTTCCACGCTTTTGAAGCTTCTGAAGCTGCTGAGTGCCCAAAGTTAAATCGGCACAATTATCAGACCTGGGCAAAATGGTGTGAGAGTTTGCTGCGTCAGTATGGAGTCTGGCGTACTGTGTCTCAAGCCCCCCCAGATCCTCTGACAGAGAAATGGGAGGCCCAGAATTTGAGGGCCATTGACATAATAGTCTTATCCGTCTCTCTGGAGGAAATTGCTACGCTTGCTGGCAACGTGACGGCACGTGAGATGTGGAATGCTTTGAAAGCTGCCCATCTGCCAGTCATCCCAGCCCAGAGTTTGAATGCATCGGAGGTCCTGGCTGTTTCCCAGAATGCGAATGAATGCAGGGGTGCTGAGGGCACCGGTTGCAAGTTGCAGGGGGAGTTGACTGTCACGTCATCCCAAGCAGCATTCCAGCCTCCAGGGGGAGCCAAGGAGTCGGCAGCTGAGAGCTCTGTTTCTCGTGGGAACCAAGGTCATCGCCTTTGCAGAGGCCGGAAGGCCAGAGGTAAACAAAGCATGATGCCTGCAGATGGCCCGAAGCAGAAGGGGGGGGGTGAAGAGCCCACGCCAGGGAAAAACAAAGCGTTGTTTGCTGGCACTGCTTCGCCAAAGGCTAAAGGCAAGTCTGATGGCCAGGAGCAGGGGGGCAAGCTGCAAAAGCCCACGCCGGTGGAAAACAAGGTTTTGCTTGCTGCAAAAGCTGCTCCAAAGGCCAGATTTGTTGTGGACTCTGGTGCCAGTCGCCATCTTGCGAAGGACCGCCATCTGTTTATCTCCTTCACACCTCAAGAAGGAGAGATCCACCTGGCTGATGGAAGGACGTTGCAAATTGCAGGAGAAGGGACTGTTAAACTTGCAAGTTTGCATACAACCATCAGTAATGTACTGTATGTTCCAGGAGCTGCGGACAATTTGCTGAGTGTCCCACAGCTGATTCTGCGTGATTTTGAGATTTCCTTCAAGAGAAAAGGCTGTATCATCAGGAAAGGCAAAGAGGACATTTTGCATGCAAAGTTTATAGATGGCTTATTCTGTATAACTTATGATGACAATGCTGTTGTGTCTAATGCTGATTCTTGTTGTGTTGCACAAACTAACAAGGTTCTTCATGCAGGATGCATTCACGATGCACATCGAAGATTTTGTCACATGTCTTGGCAGGCGCTGGCCAAGATGCCAGGATTGGTTGAAGGTTTGAACATCAAACCTTGTAAATTTCACATGAAATGTGTATCTTGTGCAGAGAACAAGGTGAAGGTTGCTCCAAAAGGCAAGGAGTCTAGCAGGCAGGCTTCCAAACCCTACCAGCTAGTGCACGCAGACCTGGTTGGTCCTCTTGCGCCCTCTTTGGGAGGAGCAAGGTACTTCATGGTTCTAATTGATTCTTTTTCCAGGTACATTCATGTGTTTATGCTCGAGCAGAAATCGCAAGCGTTTCCTAGGTTCAAAGCATTCTGTGCTTGGCTGGAGAATGCTCACGGCAAACGTATCGGCTGTCTGTTATCTGATCGGGGCGGGGAGTTCACTTCTCAGCAGTTTGAAGCTTTCCTGACTGAGAAGGGAATCCAGCATGACATGTCAACGCCTAGATCGCCAGGGATGAATGGGCTTGCGGAGCGAGCAAATCAAACGTTGCTGCAAGGAATGAAAACCATGTTGCATGATGCCAATCTCCCTGATAAGTTTTGGGGGGAGGCTCTGTCAACGGTAGTTTATACCGTTAATCGCAGACTGTCATCACCTATTGGTTGTACTCCGTACGAGAAGATGTTTGGTAAGAAACCGAACATCAAGCACCTGAGAATCTTCGGTTCTGACATGTGGGTACACACCCCACAAACCAACAAGCTTGGGAAGCGTGGGGCACATGGTTTGTTCATGGGGTACGAAAAAGGTGCATACAGGGTATGGATGACTGACTCTAAGTCCATTAAGTTCACAAGGAGTGTTGAGTACAATCCAAAGTGGGGGGAAAATGTGGGAATTTTCCAGAGTTACCCAGAGGAGGATGAAGGTGATGTGAAAAAGGCAGATGATGTTGAGGAAGATGAGGATGAGGATGATGATGATCAGAGTTCGGATTCCAGTTCAGTGGGTGGCGCTGCTGCTGGTGTCAGTGACAGTGATGACACTGCAGACTACAAGAGCGCAAAGGCCTCAGTCAGACCGTCTGATGCGTCTGACAATGAACTGGAAGAACCACTGTTCACCATTGGTCACTTTTCTCCTAAGAAAGAGGAGATGAGTCCAGAAGACTTGCGTCTGGTTCGCAGGTCTGAAAGGGCGACCAAAGGCAGACCTCCAAAGAGATTTGCTGATGAGTTTGCTAAGACGGCAACTGCTGTTCTTAGTAGCTCAGAGAAGGTGTGGGAACCTTCAAGCTTCAAAGAGGTTCAGGAGTTAACCTCTAAAGATGCTGAGCCTTGGCTTAATGCCATGAAGGCTGAAGTTGATTCCTTGAACAGGAACCAAACTTGGGAACTGGTACCGGTAGTCCCAGGTATGAGACTGGTTGGCAGCAAATGGGTCTTCAAGGCCAAGACAGACCAGAATGGCAAGGTTGTTAGACACAAAGCCAGATTGGTTGCCAGAGGTTTTTCACAGGTACCAGGACAGGATTACCACGAGACTTACTCGCCCACCGTCAAATATGAGAGCATTCGGCTGATGCTCAAGATCGCTGCGGAGGAGAAACTGCATGTTTCCCATCATGACATAAATACAGCTTTTTTGTATGGGATTTTGAACAAGGAGCTGTTTATGCTTCCACCTGACGGGATGCAGATACAGAAGGGAATGGTCTGTAAACTGCGGAAATCCTTGTATGGTCTCAAGCAGAGTGCCAGGTGTTGGAACACAAAACTCACTGAGACGTTGCTTTCTCTGGGTTTTCACCAGGGCAAAGCTGATCCATGTGTGTTTGTCAAGGAGGAGGGGCAAAACAAACTGTATTGTTTATGTTTTGTTGATGATCTTCTGATGTTTTGGAAGAATCAGGCTTTCTATCAAAGCACCCTAGCTCAACTGAAGGAGCACTTTGACATGAAGGATCTTGGTGAGGTATCCAACTATCTTTCTCTGCAGGTGGAGAGGGACCAAGCAGGTAATTTTCTGGTACACCAAACACAGAAAATTGCTGATGTATTAACCAGGTTGAATTTGGTTGATGCAAACCCAGCAGACACACCGATGGTGACAGGTTACCAGGTAGATAGCACTGCTGAAGCGTTTTCTGACACTACGCTGTACAGATGTATTCTAGGCAAGTTGAATTTCATTGCTAGATGCTCAAGACCTGACATAGCTGTAAGCACTAACCTGCTTAGCAGGCATGCTAACAATCCTACTGTTCAGGATTGGAAAGCTCTGAAGCGCATAGCCCGCTATTTGAAAGGGACTATGCACTACAGGCTGAGGTTCACCAGTCAGAAGACTGGAGGTCTTGAAATCTTTGCAGATGCAAGTTTTGGAAGTGACACCGCGGATGGTACAAGCACTTCTGGAGTATGCTACATGTACAACCACTGCCTGTTTGACTGGTTGTGCAAGAAGCAGACGACAGTGAGCCTAAGTTCCTGTGAAGCAGAACTCAATGCTCTGTCATTTTCACTCATGGATTGTGAATGGTTGATACAACTGTTTAAGGACATCGGGGTTTCTGTGAAATGTCCTATACAAGTGTATCAAGACAATAGATCTTGTTTGGCTTTGCTAAACTCAGAGAGTTGCAAGCAGAGAACCAAGTACTTGCAGATTAAGCTACATCGTGCAAGAGAGTGTATTCAAAAAGGACTGATTCGGGTGTCCTACATGGCAGGAAATGAAATTCCTGCTGATCTGTTGTCTAAGGTTGTTAACAGAGAACAACTTAAGGTTTACGTACAGAGGTTGCAATTGGGTTGAACCACAGGTACTACAGGTTACACGGAAAGGGGGAGGATGTTAGGATATTTCCGTTCCACCTTAAAAGGGAGCAGGCTGTGAGTCACAGAGTCTGCGTATTCCTGTTACAGGATGTTTATGTTTGCTATTGCTTTCGTTTTCTCTGTCTGTGCTTGAATGCTGAAGCAGACGGTCATGTCTTTCCTTTGTTCTGACCAACGTTGAATAAACTGTAAATATGCTCTCCTGCTGTGCATCTTTTGCTGTGTGGATTCTGCTGAAAGAGTGTGCACCAGCCTAGGAATGTGGCAATCTATTTCTAAGGCTTTGTGCCGCTAATTGCTGATACTGCGTGACTGCGTGACTACGGGAGGCCGATGGATCGTCCGGCAGTTGGCTTGAAGGCTCAGATGGACGTTATCTCCCTGGCAGTATCCCAACAGAGTCCTAAGCTCTGTATGTATTAGTGGCTTAAAACACAGTGAGGCTGCTTTCCCTTGTTGTGTTTCAGGATGCATTCTCCTGTTGCAGAACACACCAGAGAGGGAGCAGAAATGAGAGCAGGGATGTCTTCGCAATACCCGATTCTCTGAGCGTGAAACACATACTCACACGGACAATTCCTATTCTGTGGACCTGCCGTATGCTTATTTGATTTAGATTTATACATTATTATTTTTTTGCCAATTTACTCAGTGTTAGATACCAGCTTTTAATTATCTTAATCAATCATGAGTTTAGCTGGTCCTACTGCTTAATAAGGGACATGGGTGATGCTGTTGTCTAAAAACCACAGAGCCTAGGGCTTGCCGATCAGAAGGTCAGCGGTTCGAATCCCTGTGACAAGCTGAGCTTCCGTTGCTCGGTCCCAGCTCCTGCCAACCTAGCAGTTCGAAAGCACGTCAAAGTGCAAGTAGATACTGTATTTTTCGCTCTATAGGACGCACCGGACCATAGGACGCACTGGACTATAGGAGGGGGAGAAGAGGGGAATTTTTTTCCCCTCTCTGCTCAGCGCCCCTTCAGCGAAGCGACAGGAGAAACGGAGCCCCTTCCATTTCTCCTCCCGCTTCGCTGAAGGGGCGCTGCGCAGCTCTCCCTCTCTGCTGAAGCCAGGAGAGTCTTCCTCTCCCGGCTTCAGCAAAAGGAACCCGAAGCTTTTGGAGTGCAGCGCGAGGTTCCCCTGCACTCCAAAGGCTTCAGGCGGCTATCCCTGAAGCCTAGAGAGCGAGAGGGGTCAGTGCGCACCGACCCCTCTCGCTCTCCAGGCTTCAGTGAAAGCAACGCGAAGCCTCTGGAGTGCGGAGGGAGCGCTCCCTCTGCGCTTCAGAGGCTTCGCGTTGCTATTGCTGAAGCCAAGGAGCCTGTATTCGCTCCATAGGACGCACACACATTTCCCCTTAATTTTTGGAGGGGAAAAAGTGTGTCCTATAAAGCGAAAAATACGGTAAATAGGTACCACTCCGGCGGGCAGGTAAATGGCGTTTTCGTGCGCTGCTCTGGTTCTCCAGAAGCGGCTTAGTCATGCTGGCCACATGACCCGGAAGCTGTACGCAGGCTCCCTCGGCCAGTAATGTGAGATGAGCGCCGCAACCCCAGAGCCTGTGACTGGACCTAACAGTCAGGGGTCCCTTTACCTTTTACTGTTTAAGAACCATTGAAATTCTAGCCGCTGCAGTTTTGTGTGGGAGGGATTCTGTGCTTTGATAAGAGCTGAGAGCACATGGAACCTTACGAAAGGACAATACAAGTGGACTCTCCATGCTCTTACCACGGGCAAAAAGACTGATACTGATGAATGGGGAAAATAAAAGTGCGACTCCCTTCTACGATTGGATTGAAGACTTAAACAAACTCGCAACATATGAACAACTTGCATATAAACGCAGACTTGTCATGGACAAATTCAATGATATTTGGAACCCATTCTTACAAATACTGTAATAGGTTAAGATCTGGTAAAGTACAATAATAACTTTGTAAAATATACAGTTTTGGGGTTTTTTCAACCCTCGCCTTTATTTCCTCTTCTACATGGGTTCTGTTTCTCTTTTCCTGTCTCTTATTTATGTCTCACAATGTTTAGTGCACATATAATTATGTACTTTTGAACTTTCAATAAAGATGTTATAATAATAATAAAATTAATTTTGATGGAAAAGTTAACAGAAAGGGTACGTGAAAGAAAGCAACGTGAGAAACTACATAACTTTTACATAACGTGGTCCTCCTTTATTACATATGCATCAAAGAAAGAACATGCATTTAAAACACCTAAGACACGTGGGAGCATGTGGAATGGTATTTTTTAAACCAGCAACTGTAGAAATAATTTTTTCTTTGATTATATTACTAATGTAATTACCTGGACGTAGTTGGGGCTGTTTTGGGAAAGGGGTGGTTGGGGGGGGACTGCATTTGATTGCTTGTATTTGATTATATGTTGTTCTTCTATTCAACTAATAAAATATTCATAATAAATAATAATAATAATAATAATAATAATACAGTACCTCTGGTTGCAAATGGGATCCGTTCCGGAGTCCCGTTCGCAACATGAGCAGAAGGCAACCCGCGTCTGCCCGCGCATGGGTCACGATTCACCACGTCTGTGCATGCACGTGACGTCATTTTGCGTGTCTGCGCATGCGCAAGTGGCGGAACCCGGAAGTAACCCTTTCCAGTACTTCCGGGTCGCTGCGGGACGTAACCTGAAAGAACATAACATGAAGCAGACATAACATGAGGTATGACTGTACAGTGGTACCTCGGGTTAAGTACTGTATTTTTCGCTCTATAAGACGCACCAGACCACAAGACGCACATAGTTTTTGGAGGAGGAAAACAAGAAAAAAAATATTCTGAATCTCAGAAGCCAGAACAGGAAGAGGGATTGCTTCGCAGTGAAAGCAGCAATCCCTCTTGCTGTTCTGGCTTCTGGGATAGCTGCGCAGCCTGCATTCGCTCCATAAGACGCACACACATTTCCCCTTACTTTTTAGGAGGGGAAAGTGAGTCTTACAGAGCAAAAAAGACAGTACTTAATCCGTTCTTAACCTGAAACTGTTCTTAACCTGAAGCACCACTTTAGCTAATGGGGCCTCCTGCTGCCGCCACGCCGCTGGAGCACGATTTCTGTTCTCATCCTGAAGCAAAGGTCTTAACCCGAGGTACTATTTCTGGGTTAGCAGAGTCTGTAACCTGAAGCGTATGTAACCTGAAGCATATGTAACCTGAGGTACCACTGTATTTGATTATATGTTGTTCTTATATTCAACTAATAAAATAATAATAATAATAATAATAATAATAATAATAATAATAATAATAATAATTTATTATTTATACCCCGCCCATCTGGCTGGGCCTCCCCAGCCACTCTGGGCGGCTTCCAAAAGAACATTAAAGACTTCCGGGGGCGGCGCGAACGGCAATGGCGGTCCTCTTTGCCTGGTAAAGGGGAAGCTCCGCAGAAACGAGTCGTCCGCTACGGCGAAGCGGAGACCCATCCTGAAAAACCACAGGCAGCAATAGCCTGTGGCCGTGGGACTCGGCGGGCACCATCAGCGCCCCCCGAAACGTTGAAGGAACCCTGTAAGGGGCTCCGGAGCGTGGAAGGGCTGGCGCGGTGCTGGGAGTCGATCGCTCTTTCTGTGGAGTGAAGCCGCAAAGCTGCTGTCGGTGAGCGCTGACCCTTTTCCTGGGAACAATCGGCTTTAAAAACAGTATCCCGTGAGTAGGGGGAATTTTACTGAATTTGGGACTAAATTTATTTAAGATTTGGCTGAAGCGGGAGACGCAACCAGGAAGTCCGTCTCCCGGCACTGTTTAAAGATTCAAAGCACTACCGAGAAGGTCCTCTGCCTGGTTCCCTGTAACTTGGCTTCTCGCAGTGAGGGAACCGCCAGAAGGCCCTTGGTGCTTCACCTCAGTGTCCAGGTAGAACGATGGGGGTGGGATAATAATAATAATAATAATAATAATAATAATAATAGAGCTGAGAGCAAACCCTGCCTTGGCTTTCAGATCTTGGAATGGTCGTTGCCAACAGGCTGAAGCAAGAGGAGTCCGTGATGCAGTGTAAGGTGATGGGATTTTGCACGCCCCTGCTGCAAGAAGCAGCCTACGAGCTATGGCTTAAGAGCCAGAAGAGAGCCCTGCATCTCAAATGCGCCAGTTACCTGGAGAGTCAGGCTCACAGATGCCTGTGCTGTGGTGGAGGAGACTTCATTCCCTTCCACCGCTATGCCGTGGATGGCATGCTGCAAAACATAGACCCGCAGGGAGCGAAAGCCACCAGAAGCAAGGAAAGCATCCTGAACGAGGCGGCCTCCGTCATCGTTTCCGTAACGCTGAAAAAACTGGATCAAACAGATCAAGGAGGTAAAAGCCATGGCCTTAGCAGGTGCGAAACTCTGGTGATGCTTGAAGGAAGGGAGTGTTGGGGGCGAGCGTTGTCACTTTGCAGAGAGCCCAGAGGGCAGGAAGTAATCTGTAACGGACGGAAACTCTGTCGTGAATTCTCCGTGGCGCTTTAGCAGAAACGCTCAGAGTTCCAGGTTCTTCGGTGCAGTATATTTATTGTGAGCTATATATACACATAAGGGATACAGGTGGCGCTGTGGGATAAACCACAGAGCCTAGGGCTTGCCAATCAGAAGGTTGGCGGTTCGAATCCCCGTGACGGGGTGAGCTCCCGTTGCTCGGTCCCTGCTCCTGCCAACCTAGCAGTTCGAAAGCACGTCAAAGTGCAAGTAGATAAATAGCTACCGCTCCGGCAGGAAGGTAAACGGCGTTTCCGTGCGCTGCTCTGGTTCGCCAGAAGCGGCTTAGTCATGCTGGCTACATGACCCGGAAGCTGTACGCCGGCTCCCTCAGCCAGTAAAGCGAGATGAGCGCTGTTATGTACTGAAGTTCTCATTCTGGGCCAGCAGGGGGATACTGTAGATAGTTTTCACTCAGGTCCACGTCAGTTATTTTAGGCGGGAAACCCTGGGTTGTTGTTGCTACAATGTTGACAGCCGGCTGCCTATAAAAGCAGGCCGGCTGAGCTGTTTGCTGTTCAGTTCTGTTCTAGCTTACAAAATAAAGAGCTGCTTTGGAGAAATCGCTGTGTCGTCTGCCATGTCTACCCACTATGCAACAAGCGCCATAACCCCAGAGTCGGCCACGACTAGACCTAATGGTCAGGGGTCCCTTTACCTTTACTATGTTAAGCATATCTGTGTGCTGTGTGAGATATATGCCTATTATCTATGCTTTGGGTCCACCAGCTTTGTGCTGTGCTTCACCCACCACCAGTATGCAGCCCCCTCATGGGGACATGGTCGCCCAAGGAGCAAAAGGTTCTCCACCCCTCTGTAGTGCAGCCCAGAGTTTGTACTGATGCTAAATACAAATGCAAGAAGTGTTCACATCAGACCCTGTCTCCCTTTAACTGCAGGTCTGAATGAAGATGCCTCAATGTTTGTTCCGTTCCAATCTTCAGGCAGCATTGCAGGATCTTCTCCAACATCCGAAACAGGTAAAACTCCTTCTGGAAGTTTTATATTGATTGGAGGATGAATGGGATTGCATGATGTAGAAATTTGGGGTTTGGCTTCTGCTGCCCAACTCCCTATGGGGCTCCCCTAAGTCCATGATCGGTCAGAGAAGAATGGATGGAGGCAGGACCCAGTGGAAAGTTGTTCTGTTCATAGCTGTCAACTTTCAGATTTGAAAATAAGGGATCATCAGCCTCGAAAATAAGGGATCAGCAGCCTCACCTGTCCCAGGGACAGTCTACGGGATATCTAACAATCTGGGATAGCAGCAGGAAGCAGCGGGAAGCGGCACTGGAATAGGGAATTTCCCGGGGGGGGGGAGGGAAGGTTGACAGCTATGGCTCTGTTGCAACAGAGTTCCCTCCCCTCCTTGCAAGGAGAGAGAGACCCTGAGCAAAAGTGTGCAGGGACCTTTAAAGACTTTGGACATTGCCGAACCCCCTTAGCCAAAGACCACCCCAAAGTCATCATACATACAGCATAGGAGGCACTCTACAGCAGAAATCCTGTCTGCCAAGATACAGTGGTACCTCGCAAGACGAATGCCTCGCAAGACGGAAAACTCGCAAGACGAAAGGGTTTTTGGTTTTTTGAGTTGCTTCGCAAGACGATTTTCCCTATGGGCTTGCTTCGCAAGACGGAAACGTCTTGCAAGTTTGTTTCCTTTTTCTTAAAACCGTTAATACAGTTGCGATTTGACTTCTAGGAGCAACTCATAGCACGCGGTGTGGTAGCCTTTTTTGAGGTTTTTGAAGACTTTGGTGATTTTTGAAGCTTTTCCAAAACTTTTCCTAAACCGTGCTTCGCAAGACGAAAAAAATCGCAAGACGAAAAAACTCGCGGAACGAATTAATTTCGTCTTGCAAGGCACCACTGTACCTGATAAAGGGGGCTGATTGCATTACCTGGGCAGCCTGGCCATTCTTTGGTGATGGTTAATACTTTAGCTCCGAAATCCAGTTCACAGGCTCACCTTATTCATACACAAATACTCCCTTAAGACAGGATTTGTAAGCGAAAAGACAATGAGAAGGCTTTCCCCATTTGCCTCCCTTACTGCAGAGGAATATTTGAGGTCTTTGGGAGAGACAAAATGGCTTCAGGACTGCTCTCCTGCACTATCTCAGGCACATGGTTCATATATTTAGATATGTGTGCATCTATGAATATTTATTCTATATTTGAGACCTTAAAATTATTGCAACAGCAGATGGAATGCAGGGTGATGGGAACATAAAAGATAACTGATCTTAAACAGTGGGCTCACACAACCTATCGAGTATAGTAATGTCACTATTTTGAATCTCTCCCTTACGGAGAAGAGTCCAAGATTCTTGGTCCCTCTGCTGAGCAACTTGAGAATTTTCAACAGCTCAGAACATGTCAGCTGCCCCAATCAGCATCCCTGATACTGGCACAGACTAAATGTCTCAGATGACCATGTTCTTACTAAGCTCTGCTGGACAGAGCAACTAAGGACAGGTGGCTGGGCACAAAAGTGTCATGATAAGCTTAGGGTTTATAATCTCTAAATGGAGAAATAGTAATGATGATGATGATGATGATGATGATGATGAGAATGAGAATAAGAATAAGAATAAGAATAAGAATAAGAATAAGAATAAGAATTTATTATTTATATCCTGCCCATCTGGCTGGGCTTTCCCAGCCACTCTGGGTGGCCTCCAACAAAATATTAAAATACAGTAATCCATCAGACATTAAAAGCCCTAAACAGGGCTGCCTTCAGATGTCTTCTAAAAGTCTGGTAGTTGTTGTTCTCTTTGACATCTGGTGGGAGGGTGTTCCACAGGGCGGGTGTCCCTACCGAGAAGGCCCTCTGCCTGGTTCCCTGTAACCTGGCTTAGCCCTGAGTTAGCCCTCAGTCCATGAGAAACTGGATCTTTGATCAGGATGCCCACCAAGATAGGGCATTCATTATGGCTGCCCCCATATCAAGATTAACCACTTAAAGCCTCATTACCTTGAGACACTGACTTACTGCAGCTGCATGGGGCGTTTGTTGAACTAAGGTTCCAACAGATGCCCTCGGTGTATTTAGAGGGGAAATACCTCGGAATCGCCTATATGGAACGCAAGCGCATTTATGGATGCAATCAGGTTAATGGTATCATACATTACCTGCTGCTTTGCCCCTTATATTCAATCCCCAGATAATTTTTTTTATCCCCTGTTCTTCACTGTCTCTCTTGACTTTTGCACATCTTCGGAAAGCTTTTACAGAGTTACGACTAAATACAATAAACTCTGCTTATAGACATGGGAGACACAGAGGCATACCAAAAAACGAACGTGTTTGCATTAGGGGATGTTCTGAATTAGAGGACCTTATGCATTATATCTTGCACTGTCCCTTATATAATGATGCAAGAAAAAGATTTTTAGTACCTATAATGACAAGGTCCCCTGGCCAGAACCCCTTTGACATGATTTTATATCTCCTCGCAGACACAGATAAGTATGTGACCTGGCGTGTAGCACTTTTTGCAACTGCTGCTAGGAAAATTAGAGCAAATTATATAGCCAAGGTAGCCATTAACTGTAAAGGAGATGAATTTATTTGATCCTATCAATCTACTTCAGGCTATGCTCTATCTTTGTCACCAAACTCTGAGTATAAATTGCACACTGTATTAATTGACATTGTTTTTAACATTAGTGGCCATGTGATGATCTTAGCTTATGAATTTTATTGTTTAATGTCTTGATTTGTACATTGGGGTACTTTTATAGCTCTGTTTAGAGTACGTAATGTTTTGATAATATAAATGTCTTAAGTCTTTTGTATCAATGCAGTATAAAAGGTAAAGGTAAAGGTACCCCTGCCCGTACGGGCCAGTCTTGCCAGACTCTGGGGTTGTGCGCCCATCTCACTCAAGAGGCCGGGGGCCAGCGCTGTCCGGAGACACTTCTGGGTCATGTGGCCAGCGTGACATCGCTGCTCTGGCGAGCCAGAGCCGCACACGGAAACGCCGTTTACCTTCCCCGCTAGAAAGCGGTCCCTATTTATCTACTTGCACCCGGGGGTGCTTTCGAACTGCTAGGTTGGCAGGCGCTGGGACCGAGCAACGGGAGCGCACCCCGCCGCGGGGATTCGAACCGCCGACCTTTTGATCGGCAAGCCCTAGGCGCTGAGGCTTTTACCCACAGCGCCACCCGCGTCCCCATCAATTCAGTATATTTTCTTTTAATTGTCAAATAATTCTGTGTACATCGCGGCAGCCTTTGGCTATGTGCAATAAAACTGACTGACTGTCTCTCAGAATGATACCCCAGGAGCGGATGCTTGAGCTCCTAGCTGATAAAGACCTACAGATTATGCACCTGGTAGCCAAATTTGCTCTGACACCTAAGAAGCTCTGTTCTGGATATGTTAATTTTAAAGTTTTATGCTGTAAACTTTTTATAGGGTATATCTATCATGCGATTTCAGAGGGAGGCCTTGCCTTGCCCTCTGCTATGCATTGTAGCGGCCTTTGGTTATGCACAATAAACTGATTGAAAACCAATCAAACGCATAACCAAGAAACAGTGGTGTTGATGCAGGTACTGAGAGATGCTAGTAGGCTTAACACTGGACTTATTCTTGAATTTTGTTTGCTTTACAGTATACCTACCCAGCATTAAACAGTGTGCTTCAGAGCGTTTTCTAGGATCAAGTAACGGTAAACGGATTTCACCGAAACCCCAGATGTACACAATTAACCGCTTTCTTGAATGATGGAATCGTAACAGATGCATCTTCCTTTGCTTTCGTTTCCTCCCTCAGAAATTCTTGTTTCTGACACCTGGATGGAAAATAGAATCGCAAGACGCAATCTTAGCAAAGGTAGGCTCAGCCGTATTTAACAGCTCACGACTGAAAAATCTCCATATGATGCTTCCATGTTCACACACACACACACACACACACACACAAATGAGTGCTTGGTTTAGTCTCATTTATACCTATGAATTCCATTCCTTTTCTTACTTAACAAGAAACCATAATGTCTGCAGCAATGCATTTATCATTCTTCCCTTCCCTTCCTTTTCTAGAAGAGCTTCAGGGGAGACCCAGCTTGCAAGAGTCCTTTAGGTTTGATGAAAAGAACTTCTATATTCTTTGGCATTCTGCTATGACTGGGGTACTTTAAGGGTCTAAGAATCTCTCTTATATGAAATCAGAGTAATAGTTCATGTTACCTGGTACTAAAAACGTTGGCTGGTATTTGTTATTATATCTGGTTGATCAACTGGGGGTCTTTTTCAGCTCTGTTCACCTGAGAGCCCTTAGCTTAGAGATAATGTAGGGGATTAAATAAGAAGCCCACTGATAGTTGTCATGATCAGAAGACTACCAGAGGTTGTCTACTAAGAGTCAGAAAATAGAGAGTTTACAGGCAGGGCTTTTTGCCATCCGTGAATCCATATCTGATGTATCTTGGCAGATTCCGTGTTCATTTTTCTTGACTGCATTTCACCACCCTTTCTCCAAAGAGTGCAAAGTAGCTTAAGGTGCAAAGGTACCCCTGACCGTTAGGTCCAGTCGTGACCGACTCTGGGGTTGTGGTGCTCATCTTGCTTTATTGGCCGAGGGAGCTGGCGTACAGCTTCCGGGCCATGTGGTCAGTATGACTAAGCCGCTTCTGGCGAACCAGAGCAGCGCACGGAAACACCGTTTACCTTCCCGCCGGAGTGGTACCTATTTATCTACTTGCACTTTGACGTGCTGTCGAACTGCTAGGTGGGCAGGAGCTGGGACCGAGCAACGGGAGCTCACCCCGTTGTGGGGATTCGAACTGCCAACCTTCTGATCGGCAAGACCTAGGCTCTGTGGCTTAACCCACAGTGCCACCAGTGTAGGGCAGTAGCTTAGGGCAGAACTAAAGATCTGGGAGACACAGGGCAGTCTGCTCCCCATAATTTGGTGCAACTCATCACTTGATGTGACATTGCTACTCCCTGTTTCCCCCCCAAGTTGTAATTACGTGCAGCAGAAATGGGGAAACTCATGATATGATTATGTCATGATAAATATGGCACAGCGAGCTTCCTTAGAGGTTAGAATTGGGGACTCAGCTCTTTTCAACTGAAATTGCTCTGAGGTCCAGTTTTATAGGGACACAGGTGGCGCTGTGGTCTAAACCACAGAGCCTAGGACTTGCCGATCAGAAGGTCGGCGGTTCGAATCCCCGCAACGGGGTGAGCTCCCGTTGCTCGGTCCCTGCTCCTGCGAACCTAGCAGTTCGAAAGAACGTCAAAGTGCAAGTAGATAAATAGGTATCGTTCCGGCGGGAAGGTAAACGGCGTTTCCATGCGCTGCTCTGGTTCGCCAGAAGCGGTTTAATCATCCTGGCCACATGACCCAAAAGCTGTACACTGGCTCCCTCGGCCAATAAAGCGAGATGAGCGCCACAACCCCAGAGTCGGCCACGACTGGACCTAGTGGTCAGGGGTCCCGTTACCTTTACAAGTTTTATATTTTGACTCAAAAGATGGTTCAGTCACAATATAGTAAAATATTTTGTTGATTTTTCAATCCCATGTTTTCTTTTAAAGCCATTCTCTATTAATCATCTTTATTCTTCATAACCCCAAAATATACTTCCCTCTCCACAGGTTTCTTTTGAACCCCACTGCCCCCTTTCCTTCCTTCTCTCCCTTCCCTAGAATGCTTTAGCTTCCCTGCTAGTTCTGTACTTTTTCACTTTTTCATCTCCTCATCCCCACCTCACCCCGTTTCTTCATGGTTTCCCTGAAGCCCCATTTCTCAGGTGCTCCCTCTTCTTCTCTCCATCTGTGACAGTTAATTGACTTCCTGCTCTGCTCCAAAGCAGTTGTCTGGATTGGGGTGTCACAGGGTTTTGTCCCTGGGCCCGTTGTTTTTTCAACGCCTTTATAAATGACTTGGATGAAGGAATTGTGGGGACGGTCATCGAATTTGCAGATGACACCCAACTGGGAGGGGTACCTAATGGCGCAGAAGACAGAATCGGGATTCAAAAGGACTTTAACAGACTAGACCAGGGGTCAGCAACCTTTTTCAGCCACTGTCCCTCAGACAGTGGTGGTGGGCCGGACTATATTTCGGGGGGGGGAATATGAACAAATTCCTATGCCCACAAATAACCGAGATGCATTTTAAATAACAAAACACATTGTACTCATGTAAAACACCAGGCCACAAATAACCCAGAGATGCATTTTAAATAAAAGGACACATTCGACCCATGTAAAAACACACTGATTTCCAGACTGTCTGCGGGCCGGATTGAGAAGGCAATTGGGCCGGATCCAGCCCCCGGGCCTTAGATTGCCTACCCCTGGACTAGAGAACTGAGCCACAACGAATTTCAGTAGGGACAAATGTCAGACTCTGAACTTAAGACAGGAAGAACCAGATGCACAAATATAGGATGGGGGACACCTGGCTTACTAGCGGTACATGCGAAAAGGATCTAGGGGTCTTGGTGGACCACAAGCTTAAAATGAGTCAACAGTGTGATGCAGCCGCAAAAAAAGCTAATGCTATTCTAGGCTGCATCAACAGAAGTCTAGTGCCTAGGTCAAGGGAAGTAATAGTGCTCTTCTGCCTTGGTCAGACCACACTTGGGAGTCCTGTGTCCAATTCTGGGCATCACAGTTTAAGAAGGACGTTGACAGGCTGGGATGTTTACAGAGGAGGGCTGTTAAGATGACCACGGGTCTGGAAACTAAGCCTTATGAGGAACGGTTGAAGGAGCTGGCTATATTAGTGCAAATACCATACAGAAATGTATATATTAGGCAAAAGCGCAAATAAGAATGTTGATTAGGAGAAATTTGCGCATGAAGGCTGATGAATTTTCACGAGATTCTTTTAACTGGAGGAAACAGCAACTCGGATTTTCCGCCGATTGCTATTTGCTCCAATTCAGTCGTAAAGAGCTGATTTTCATGGGGAAAGCATTGGGGCAAAAAATAAAAATAAAAAGGAGTCTCGGACCAGGACCTGGAAAACCTGGACTTGTGCCTAGAAATGAGGAGCAAAGGTTGTATTTATTTATTTAATTTTCAAAAAGTTCAAAAGTACAACTAAACATCATGAGACATAAATAAAAGAGGGGGTGAACAGCACCTGTGTAGAAGGGAAAATAAAAGGGGCAGGGGAAACTGCCCCCCCCAAAAAACTGTATACTTTACAAAGTTGTTATTGTACTGCACCAGATTTCAACCTATTACAGTATTTGTAAGAGTGGTGTCAGGAGCTGGCCAGCTGCCGGCTTGAGAAAACAACATGCAAGCGGTAATTTACAGAAGATTTATTGCATACAAGCAATTAGCCTCTGGCCGCTCTCTCTCAGAGCGTCCATAAATCACAATCAAGTTGAGTCTTCTGAAGAATACTTCCGGCTACTGCAGAATATCCTGAACTTTCCCCCCTTACGTTTATTGGTTTTCCTTCTGTCTTTGACCCTTTCCATTCACCTAGTTTTGGGACTGACAGGTTCAGAGAGCTGGCTCTCATCCAGCCCGCTTTCGCTCTGCTGATAAGCAACATTCCTAACAGCTTCAGAAAGGGGAGGCATTCGCCCCCTGTCTCTCGCTGCCTGAGAAATCTGTCAGTCTCCTGTCCTTCCTCTGCCTGCCTGCTTTCTAGCTCCGGCTACTCTTCACGATTTTCTGTCGTGTCCATGACAAGTGGATTCCAAATACCATTGAATGTGTCCTTGGCAAGTCTGCCTTTATATGCAAGTTGTTCATATGTTGAGGGTTTGTATAAGTCTTCAGTCCAATCGTAGAAGGGGAGCTGCACTTTTATTTTTCCAACTCACCAGTATCAGTCTTTTTGCCGGTGATAAGGGCACAGAGAGTACACACACATTGTCCTTTTGTAAGCTTCCATGTGCATATACGGTAATTCAAAAGGATATTTTGCTCTGTAAAGGTAAGGTTGTTCCGTACGCTTCCATTGATGGTTTCAGTTACCTTCTGCCAAAAATCTTTCCGTATAGGACAATCAAAAGACATACATTTTAGAGAAGCATTATTGCATCTCCAGCAGTTAGATACCTTAGATCAGTGGTGTCCAAACTTTTTTCAAAGAGGGCCAGATTTGATGAAGTGAAGGGCTGTGAGGGCCGACCAAAGGGTTAGGGTTGAAGTTGTGGGGTTTTTTGTTTTAGGATTGAAGTTATGGAGGTGGTTTTTTTTTAGGATTTTACCCCAGGAAATAAACTGCCAAAGGGGCCAGATTAAACCGACCAGCGGGCCGGATTAGGCCCCCGAAACAGACTCTGGACATGCCTGCTTTAGGTAGTCCTTTTTTAAACAAACATAATGGGCTCCAGTATATTCTAAATACAGTGGTACCTCAGGTTACATACGCTTCAGGTTACAGACTCCACTAACCCAGAAATAGTACCTCGGGTTAAGAACTTTGCTTCAGGATGAGAACAGAAATCGTGCTCCGGCGGCGCAGCAGCGGCAGCAGCAGGAGGTCCCATTAGCTAAAGTGGTGCTTCAGGTCAAGAACAGTTTCAGGTTAAGAACAGACCTCCGGAACGAATTAAGTACTTAAGCCAAGGTACCACTGTATCAGAAATGCGGAGCAAAGGTAAGGGTGGACAAGCCTTAAGTCTTTCTGTTCTCGGTTGAGGAGCCAAGCATACGTTAGAAGTTGCTGAGATTCCCCCCCCCCCCCCACTGTCCCCATTTGGTCAGAGCGGAAGATATAGAAATGAAGTTTTTAGAGAGGATGGATGAAATCATCATGCTTACTGAGAAGGGCAAGAAAAGAATCAAGAACCTGAGCTCCTGTGAATGTGAAGCGATTGTGGAGTACATCATCATACCTTTGTCTCAACACTGCGTGGCTGTGGAAGATACCCCTCGGGCCCTTTATTACTTGTTGGAGTCTGCATGTGGTTATGTCCACCTTTCCAACAATTATATGGTGAGTAAGACCTACTCAATCTTCCCCACTCCAGCTGCCCATGTCCTTCATCCCTCTCTCCTTCTCCACAGTCAGGTAAAAGGTAAAGGTAAAGGTACCCCTGCCCGTACGGGCCAGTCTTGACAGACTCTGGGGTTGTGCGCCCATCTCACTCAAGAGGCCGGGGGCCAGCGCTGTCCGGAAGACACTTCTGGGTCACATGGCCAGCGTGACAAAGCTGCATCTGGCGAGCCAGCGCAGCACACAGAAACGCCGTTTACCTTCCCACTAGTAAGCGGTCCCTATTTATCTACTTGCACCTGGGGGTGCTTTCGAACTGCTAGGTTGGCAGGCGCTGGGACCGAGCAACGGGAGCGCACCCCGCCGCGGGGATTCGAACCGCCGACCTTTCGATCGGCAAGCCCTAGGTGCTGAGGCTTTTACCCACAGCGCCACCTGCGTCCCTCTCCACAGTCAGAGGCTACTCTAAACGCACAACATTGCATGTGTCAAGTTTTGTGAAAGTCCAAGCTGCAGGATAGTGGTAGGGCAAAACTGTGTATGGTAGAAGTTTGTACTCTTATTTGTAGTTCCACGTGGGGAACAGAACCGTTGCCAGTTTAATTTTACCCTACTGCAGGGCAGTTTCCCCTGCTCGGTGAGTTTGCTCCCTCTCTTCTGTTGGCTGAGTGGGTGAGAGGGTCAGTTTTGTCAATGGACAAAAATGGCTTGGGCTTGGGCAACTATTCAAGCTTTGTAGGACCAGGCACTGGGCTCCCCATAGCCCAACCCATATAAATAAGAGTCCAATAAGACTGGTTTTGGGTCAGAACAGGCCACAACATTATTGGATACAGATGAAAGAGGTTTGGCATGGGCATGGGGCAATCGAAATACCGTATTTTTCGCTCCATAAGACACACTTTTGTCCTCCTAAAAAGGAGGAGGAAATGTCTGTGCATCTTATGGAGCGAATGTGTGGTCCCTGGAGCCAAATTGCCCAGGGGCAAAAAGCAGACTGTGCTTTTTTTTTTCCAGAAAGAGGGGAGAGGGTGTTGAAACAAAGCCGCTGAGCAGCTGATCAGCAAGCGATCGGGAGGGAGATAAAGGACTCTGGCGATAAAGGAGGCTGCCCGGGAGGGGGGAGGTAAAGACAGCGAACTTGCAAAGGGGGGGAAACAGGAATACTAAAGCAAGCAATGAGGAGAGAAACTCACCGTCAAATCACATATCATGTCTGTGGCCACAGCATGAACCACAAAAATCATACACCCACTGTTTCGTTCAGAATATTTTTTTTCTTGTTTTCCTCCTCTAAAAACTAGGTGGGTCTTATGGTCAGGTGCGTCTTATGGAGCGAAAAATACAGTACTTCTGGCCCGCTCACCGTGGCCAATCCAGGCGGGGGTTCCTAAGACTTACATCCAATAGGGTGACCCCTGCAGGGACTGCCGTCTGGGGGAGTGCCTTTGGCCTGGGCCCCCCCAGGGCACGTGGACATGGCCACTCCCCCCAGATCCCTGTAACGGGATACCCCAGCGTTTGGAGGGGCAGGCAGAGACTACAACCACCCCTCCATCCAAAACAAAGGATTGCCCCAATGCCCAATCAGTTGTGACAATTGCTATGAGATAGGCAAAGCCACCGGGTCAAAGCCAAGTAGCTCAGTGGGCAAATTCCTACCTGGCCCTATAAAGTGGCAATGGCTGTAACCACAGCAGAATCATTGACTATCAGCTTAAACCGAGGGCGGGTGGGTTGGTGGGGGAACCTGGCGAAGGAACAAACAGGTAGTGCCCCAGGTGTGGGCTGCTTAAATGGGCAAGGGGCAGACCCGAGGGAAGCCCACTCGCTCCATTGGCTCTGCCCCCTGGCACAGCCCAAATCTCAGCCTGCAGCCCCATTCGCCAAAGCAGGATGCAGGCTAGGATCTGGTTTCCGATAGGCGACGGGGGCTTATGCTCCCACCGCCTATCAGGAAGGGCCCTGAAGTTCCAGTTCCCTCTTTGGGGCTCCCGTGAAGCCTCTGCCGTCCCGCGATGCTGTGGCACTAAGAGGAGTGAGCGGACTTGTCAGAAAGGCAAAGAGGAAATCTTGTCCCCTCGTCCGTTTCCCCGCATTCCTCTGATGAATGGAGTGTGTGCACGCTGAGCTCAACCCCAGATGCACCGGAATATGGGCAAGGGATGGGAGTAAACAGGGACCAATGAAGTAAATGTTCTATTCTTTGTTGTTCTTCTTTCAGGCTTTTACATATCTGAACACAGCAGAGCTCATGCTGAAATCTGTGAGTCCCAAGCAAAGAAACATTAGCTTGTTTGAGGAGTCAGTATTGCACAGCCTCAAGGGAGAGGTAAGAGGAACTGCTGGATTTGGTTGATACAGGGAGGGTGGAGATTTCAAAGTACGAAGCCCTACATGGATTAGGTCCAAGCTTTCTGGAAGACTGTATTCCTTCATAAGATCCTCCCTGTGCTCTGAGATCTTCAGGGGAGACCTGTCTCTTGGTCCTGCCACCCTCACAAGCACCCTGGGGTGGGGGCCCTCTCGGTGGCTACTCCCAGACTCTTGAACTCCCTCCCTAGAGATGCCCGACTTGTTCCTTCCTTGTTGTCGCATCATCAGTCAGCGAAGACCTCCTTCTTCCAACAGTCTTTTGGGAGCTGACTGCTTTTAATGAGGGGGCTGACGCTGTGCTTTCTAAATTGCATTTATTTCTATGGCTTTAATAGATCTTACACACATGCACAAACACACCCTTAATTCTATTCTATTAGTTTTTAATGGTTGGTCTGCATGCAGAACTAACAATGTGCACCTTATCACTTGGTGCCCACGTGCCCACAGAGATGGCCTGAGGGCTAGAGCTATGGGGCTTCCCTTTCTTCTCAAGTATGACTCCTTCCCCCACATTTCTATTTTTAAATCCATCCATCATTTCCTACCCAGCTGCTCTGCCAGAAGTCTTCTGCAGGCCGAGATGCAAATTCCACTCAAGTTATTTGTTAAAATGGAAATTACTATTCATTAAGCAGTGAAGGGTTTTCAAAATAGCAACCTTCTCAATTCTTAAAAATCAAATTGGTTAATACTGGACAGTATGGGCAGAAAGCCACCGCCCTGTGGATGACCGGCGAGGGTGTCTTAACCTTTTTGCTCCTCCCACAAGCTGTTTCTCTACCCCCCATAGGAACTAATGGAGCCACTAATTCACATGGAGGCAGGAAAATGACCCTGCAATGGCAAAATCAGATAATAGAATCATAGAATTGTAGTGTTGCAAGGGGCCATGCAGGGGCGTCTTTAGCATATGTGGTGCCAGGGTGCAAGGATCTGCCCAGCGCCCCCAAATGTTCATCTTGCTGCTGCCGCCACTTCCTCCCGAGTAGTAATAAATGCTACTTTCACAGAGGGAAGACTGGGGGTGTGGGGTGAGGGAGGGAGGGAGGGAGGGAGGCTTGGGAAGGAAGCTGCACACCAGCCCACCAGCCATATAGTTGGCGGGGTGCAGCTTCCATCCTAAGCCTCTGCAGGGATCGCTCTCCTCCCGCGGAGGCTTGGGAGGCAAGCTGCACACCCGCCAGCCATATGGTTGGGCGTGCAGGGAAAGGGGAGGCCACCGGCAAGGTGCGCAGCTCCCGCACTCACTGGGGCGCCCCTGAAAGGCCAGCGCCCTGGCGCAACGAACCACTAAGCCCTATGGCCCTCTGGGGCCATGAGGATCATCTAGTCCAACTCTCTGCAGTGCAAGAATATTTCGTCCAATGCAGGGATCGAACCCACGACCCAGAGATTAAGAGTCTTGTGCTCCACCAACTAATCTATCCCCTCATGGTGGGGTTTAGGGTAACCCATCTCTTGGGCATTCCACACTGGGATAACCTTCATCTCCCACCCCTTGAGTAAGTTCCTTCTTTTTCTCACCCCTTCTGGGAAAACTGGCTACAATAGTTCCTACAGAAGTCGTTGCTGCTGTGTGGTGAGCAGAGCTGGTGCACACCCCACGATTTTCTTTGCAAACATTAAGTAGTGGTGTTCACTTTTATGAGCAACTTCACGCTGCTTCTTGCAGCAGCCCCTCTTGTAGGCACATACTCCCAATCGCTGCGTAGGCAACATGGATGATCATGGGCAAACATTATCTCCATTGGAGTCTTGCTGCACAAATGCAATACTCCTTGCTCCATATCAACCCACCCCCACAAAAAAGATGTGCCCAAGAGGCTCTCTTGTAGGTCCATGCGTTAAACAAGGTGTCCAGGATTCAGGGGGAGGCCTGTGAAGGCGGTCAAGGTCCTGTGTGAGTGTCTGGAGGCGGCTGGAGGATGGATGGCAGCTATCAGATTGAGGTTGAATCCTGACAAGACAGAAGTTCTGTTTTTGGGGGATAGGGGGTAGGTGGGGGTGGGGGACTCCCTAGTCCTGAACAGGGTAACCATGTCCAGGAAAGACCAGGTGCACAGCCTAGGAGTCATTTTGGACTCACAGCTGTCCATGGAGGGGCAGGTCAATTCTGTGTCCAGGGCAGCTGTCTATCAGCTCCATCTGGTACGCTGGCTGAGACCCTACCTGCCCACAGACTGTCTCGCCAGAGTGGTGCATGCTCTGGTTATCTCCCGCTTGGACTACTGCAACGTGCTCTACGTGGGGCTACCTTTGAAGGTGATCTGGAAACTACAACTAATCCAGAATGTGGCAGCTAGACAGGTGACTGGGAGCAACCACCAGGACTATATAACACTGGTCCTGAAAGACCTACGTTGGCTCCCAGTATGTTTCCAAGCACAGTTCAGAGTGCTGGTGCTGACCTTTAAAGCCCTAAATGGCCTCAGCCCAGTATACCTGAAGAAGCATCCCCACCCACATTGTTTAGCCCGGACACTGTGGTCCAGCTCCGATGGCCTGCTGCTGATTACCTCACTGCGAGAAACGAAGTTATCAGGTGATACTAAAGAACTCGCCAATAACCATTGCATTGTTGTCTCCCTCACGTCTCTGTAGGTCTCTTACAACATGGGTCAAATCAATTTGGCAAAAAAACTGGTGAAGAAGGCTTTGCGTTTATTGAAGAGAAGCTTCCCAATGACCATTATAGGAGTCTTTTTCAAGTCCATGGTGGAAACGTCCAAACACTTGTCTCATCAGAAGAAGCAGGTTCCTTGGCAAATGTCCAGTGGGTATGGTGATTCTGGCAAATTGTTTTTAGAAGGTGGAGTGGATGTGTTGCTGAGTTATAGAACTGAAAGGGGTGTTGTGGATCAACAGGTCCACCACAAGATCTCAAGTAACCTAGAGTTGGGTGCCTGTAAAGCCTCTAGTAGGAAGCTTCTCAAGCTGAGGAATTGTTCCAACTCTGTCCCCCTCTAGGCAGCATATTGTTCTGCTCAACTGCTGTTTGGGCCATAAACTTTTCTCATAATATACTACCTTAGAGTAAGGTGTTGGGTTGGATTTTATCCCAGTCACTGTGCATAGGATGGACAATTGTTCCTCATCTTCTTAGAGAGGATGAGAAATACAGTAGCTCCTCGGATTATGCTACCCTCGGGTAACGTAAACTTTGGGTTGGAAAAGCGGCAAACCTGGAAGTGTTTCACCGCACATGCATGCACAGAAGCGCTCTACCATGCTGCGTGCATGTGCAGAAATGGTTCCTCTGGGAACTCCGGAACAGATCCCATCAGCAACCAGAGGTACCACTGTACGTTTTTCTCTGCATCTGCACCTATGTTTGTGCTCCCACATCACCTGGTGCAAGACAGGTCAGCTTGCAGCCTTGTAACTCCAACCTGTCCCATCAGCTATGACGCATAGGTCAATCCAGGTGGGGGTTCCTAAGACTTACATCAAATAGGGTGACCCCAGATGGACTGCCGTCTGGGGAGTGCCTCTGGCCCTGGCCCTGCCTGGGCAGGTGGACATGTCCACTCCCCCCGGATCCCTTTAACGGGATACTCCAGCATTTGGAGGGGTAGGCGGAGATTACAATCTCCCCTCCATCCAAAACAAAGGATTGCCCCAATGCCCAATCAGTTGTGACAATTGCTATGAGGTAGGCAAAGCCACTGGGTCAGAGCCAATTAGCCCAGTGGACAAATTCCTGTTGTTGTTGTTGTTGTTGTTTAGTCGTGTCCGACTCTTCGTGACCCCATGGACCAGAGCACGCCAGGCACTTCTGTCTTCCACTGTCTGGTCAAACTCATGCTGGTAGCTTCGAGAACATAATCCAGCCATCTCGTCCTCTGTCGTCCCCTTCTCCTTGTGCCCTCCATCTTTCCCAACATCAGGGTCTTTTCCAGGGAGTCTTCTCTTCTCATGAGGTGGCCAAAGTCTTGGAGCCTCAGCTTCAGGATCTGTCCTTCCAGTGAGCACTCAGGGCTGATTTCCTTCAGAATGGATAGGTTTGACCTTCTTGCAGTCCGTGGGGTTCTCAAGAGTCTCCTCCAGCACTATAATTCAAAAGTATCAATTCTTCGGCGATCAATTCTTCTGCGATCAGACAAATTCCTACCTGGCCCCATAAAACGGCGACTGCTGTAGCCACAGCAAAGTCCTTGACTAACAGCTTAAACCGAGGGTGGGCGGGCAGGGAACCTGACGAAGGAATGTAGGCAGGGCCCTGGGTGAGGGCTATTTAAATTGCAAGGGGGCGGACCCAAGGGAAGCCTTCCTGCTCCACATTTCCACCCCCTGGCACAGCCCATGTCTGAGCCTGCATCCCCATTCGCCAAAGTGGGGTGCAGGCTAGGATCCGTCTCCTGATAGGTGGTGGAGTAAGGTTACCAGGTCTTTTCCAATGAATCCAGGGACACTTTTCAACTTCAATGGGGGCTGATTTGTAAATCCGGGGACTGTCCCCAGGAAATGGGGATGTCTGGTAACCATCCAGAAGGGGCACTAAGGCCATGCCTCTCTCGTTGGGGTCCCAGGTGAGCCTCTGCTGCCCTGCGACCAAAAGAGGTAAGCGACTTATTGCACCAGTAAATTGGAACTTCCTGGATTATCTCAAAGATAGGAAGGGGGATTGTGAAGAGAGTGGGTAGCTTGAGCCTTTCTGATCCCCTGCACTCCTATGGTATCTTTTATAGCAGGGAGAAGAAACTAGCTTTTCTGTACCAGCAAGGGCACTGCCTTTCCCTGCTGTGGCAGCTCTTCAGCCTGGATCTTGCCAGCAGCAGCAAAAAGTTCTCCCGCTTAGCAGCTCTCATGAATGTGAACTGTGCAGAGGAATCTCAAGACGAGTCCCAGGTACAGAAAGCTTTTGCTCCCGACTTTTTGCTGGCTGCTCCTTCACGGGAAAATTTGCCCATGAGGTGTGCAGCAGCACCAACTGCATCTTCTAAATCATCTTTGTTGGCAGCTCTCTTTAGATGGCATTGCAATGATCAGAACCTGGCTGATATGGAAGTAAGGACCAGCATAGCGAAATCTAAGCTGTCTAAAAGAGGGGAAAGCCTCCTGGACAATTAGGTAAAGGTAAAGGGACCCCTGACCATTAGGTCCAGTCGTGACCGACTCTGGGGTTGCAGCGCTCATCTCGCTTTATTGGCCGAGGGACCCGGCGTACAGCTTCCGGGTCATGTGGCCAGCATGACTAAGCCGCTTCTGGAAAACCAGAGCAGCGCACAGAAACACCGTTTACCTTCCCGCCAGAGTGGTACCTATTTATCTACTTGAACTTTGACATGCTTTCGAACTGCTAGGTTGGCAGGAGCAGGGACCGAGCAACGGGAGCTCACCCCGTTGCGGGGATTCGAACCGCCAACCTTCTGATCGGCAAGCCCTAGGCTCTGTGGTTTAACCCACAGTGACAATTAGAGACCGCAAAAAAGGACACACCTAGCTCTATATTTCTCCAAAAGCAAAGCAAAAGGTCACACTGACCACATCATTCAGAAGTAGGCTTATCACCTCTAAATGTCAGGGAATAGCAGGGCTCTGAGGAGTGGCAGGATTAGCTGGAGGGGGGCAGGAGAGTGATGCGGGGGAAGGGGGTAGAGATTTATGGGTTTTTGTGCCAGAGCTGAAAGATGGGGAGAGGGGGTCTGTGCTACACCGTCAGACGAGGGTACAGGATTATGGAGTGTAGACGTTGCCATCCATTGCTCCAACAGTCCTGGCACGGCTGGCGCTAAACCACTGAGCCTCTTGGGCTTGCTGATCAGAAGGTCAGCGGTTCGAATCCCCGTGACGGGGTAAGCTCCCATTGCTTTGTCCCAGCTCCTGCCAACCTAGCAGTTCGAAAGCACGCCAGTGCAAGTAGATAAATAGGTACCGCTGCGGTGGGAAGGTAGACGGCGTTTCTGTGCGCTCTGGTTTCTGTCATGGTCTCCTCTTGTGCCAGAAGGTTTAGTCCTCCTGGCCACATGACCTGGAAAGGTGTGAACAAACACCAGCTCCCTTGGCCTGAAAGCGAGATGAGCGCCTCAACCCCATAGTTGCCTTTGACTGGACTTAACCGTCCAGGGGTCCTTTACCTTACCAACAGTCAAGCTCAGAGAACAAGTCAAGGAAGGCGTACCAGCTGCCCAGCCACCAGAAGCATGTGTGTATGTGTTTGCATTAGTGCACCTCAGGAGTTCCCTGAGGTTCATGTTTTGTCACTGGCCCTTTATTCTTCCTGGGCTGAGTGTGCACAGGACCCTAAACTTGGGTCATCTCCAGACAAATGTTACCCACCCACCAGAGTCACTGACTCCCCCCTTGGCCCTCTCACTGGGGTGGAAGTCAGAATGAAAAGGGTCCTATTCCCCTAGTACCAGGAAGTCTAAAGGAAGAAGACAAGACATTATATTTATACACAACAGTAGTCGCAAGGCTATTGATTGCGAAAAATTGGAAAAGTGGTATTATACCGACAAAAACAGAGTGGCTTGCCAAATTATTGGAGTATTGCAATATATCCAAAACAATGGGAGAAATTGGAAGGATCTCAAAAGAGAAGATAGACAAGGACTGGAAGGTGTTTAAAGGATACTTGCAAAATTATATCGGAAAATCAGAACTCCTATTAGAATAAACAAGTTCTGTTATAAATACGGAAATACTAAATGAGATGGATAACAATGTGTAACAGAAAAAGAAGCAGAAAATTGGTTTAAAAGTATGTGAAAGAAAGTAATAGAAGTAGAAAGAAATTGCAATTGAGTAGATTGGAAGTTTAGGGGACGCGGGTGGCGCTGTGGGTAAAACCTCAGCGCCTAGGACTTGCCGATCGCATGGTCGGTGGTTCGAATCCCCGCGGCGGGGTGAGTTCCCATCGTTCGGTCCCAGCGCCTGCCAACCTAGCAGTTCGAAAGCACCCCCGGGTGCAAGTAGATAAATAGGGACCGCTTACTAAGCGGGAAGGTAAACGGCGTTTCCATGTGCTGCGCTGGCTCGCCAGATGCAGCTTGTCACGCTGGCCACGTGACCCGGAAGTGTCTTCGGACAGCGCTGGCCCCCGGCCTCTTAAGTGAGATGGGCGCACAACCCCAGAGTTGGACACGACTGGCCAGTACGGGCAGGGGTACCTTTACCTTTACCTATTAGAATAAACAAGTTCTGTTATAAATACGGAAATACTAAATAAGATGGATAACAATGTGTAACAGAAAAAGAAGCAGAAAATTGGTTTAAAAGTATGTGAAAGAAAGTAATAGAAGTGGAAAGAAATTGCAATTGAGTAGACTGGAAGTTTATCACAAGGGTGGGGTGAGGGGTGAGGGATGGTGGTGGGAAAATGAAGTATTTGTGGGATTGGGTATGTATGAATGTTCTTAAGGATTGTATGAAATGTATGTTTGTATGTTTGTATATTCGTAACATGTATGTATTAATGTTGAATTATTTTAATAATAAAAAATAAATAAATGGAAAGGGTCAAGGGAAGAACAGCATCAATTCAGAGGGCTTCTGATCTATCAAGATGCTTCCTTAAATACATTTTGAGTGCTGTCTGATTGAGAGCTCTCAATAGGTGACAAAGTTCACTTGTCTTATTGTTTGCATCGTCATAGATAATCTCCTCCTACATGGAATTCTCACTCTGCTGTCAGCTGATGGGCTACCAGCATGAATGGATGAAATATGAGTTAATGGCTATCCAACGTAGCGCGCACCTTCGAGTTGTTGGAGAAGAGCTCTTAATCATAGCTAAGCTGGCATCGTCACTAGCCTACATGAAGCTCTGCTTGGGGAACTTGCCTTTAGCTGTCCAGCTTGGTAAGTCAGCTGGCTGGCTCCCAAATACAACTTTTGGGATCGAAAGAGTGGCAATTTTATGCATTGCTTTCTTTTCAGGTTACCGGGCACATGAGCTGTGTGTGCAACTGAAGAAGCCCAAACTCGACTGCATTGTTCTCAACGACCTTTTCAACGCTCTTTTTCTCAGGACAAGGTACTTTGCCTCGTGCATCTCCCATTGTTGACTAAATGTCTTGCCAAATGAAGGTGGTTCTTTTAAAATGAGACTCAGAAGTAATATAAAACACAAGTGAGCGAGAAGATTAAAGATTTTATTCTAAACAGCAAGCAATAAACAGTCGTACCTTGGAAGTCAAACGGAATCCGTTCCGGAAGTCCATTCGACTTCCAAAACGTTCAAAACCAAAGCGTGGCATCTGAAGCTCCTGCAGCCAATCAAAAGCCCCGTTGGATGTTCGGCTTCCAAAAATGGTTTGCAAACTGGAGCACTCACTTCCAGGTTTGTGGCGTTCGAGAGCCAAAACGTTCGAGAACTAAGCTGTTCGAAAACCAAGTAAGCACTCCAATCTGCCACTTGGAAGCTCTCAAGAAGCGGTGAAGTGACTCCCCCAGGTAGCCTCAGTTTACATGGCCGCCATGCATGAGCTTCTCTCTAAAAACTCTGCCCAACCATCCAATTTATAGCTAGCTAGCTTGTGTAGCTTGCCCGACTGGCTACGTGCAGTTCATTCATTACTTGTTACATGCAGATTATTCATTAGCTACCCGCTCCCAATGCCTCACTTTCTCAAAACAATGTCCAACATCAAAGAAGGTACCTGTTATGTACTGAAGTCTCACCCTGGGCCAGCAGGGGGATACTGTAGATAGTTTTCACTCAGGTCCACATATGCAAATAAGGGATCGAAAGTGACGTTCAGTGTTTGGATACTTACAGAAAATGGTTACTGTTGCATTCTAGTGGAGCTCTATATAAGCAGGTTGGCTGAACCCTTCAGTTCAGTTCTGTTCTGGCCTGTGAATAAACAAGAGCTGTCTGAAGAATCGCTGCATCGTCTAATATCTTCACCCACAACTTAACAGTACCCAGCACTATTACTTCCTTCCAACCGATAAGGGCATTAAAGGCTGTTCCTCATGCCATCAAAGAACTGAAGGAACAGAGACAGGAAGATCACGAACTCCTCAAAGTACAATTGATCTTCCAGATAGATTGCCCATACACTAAAACGGCAGTTTTAAAGTTTCTGTCGCATAGAATGACCCTCCTCCCCTAAGATGAGAAGGAATCAAGCCCAATCACAATGCTCAGTAGGCTGCCTGACTTTCTTAACCCTAAAAAGGTAGCTGTACACTTTATGCAGAAACACGAATTACAGTGGGATACACTGATATTATCTGGTGAGAGACACCTATGTTTCCTGTAGCAACAATACTACGGGTGGATGTTACGCACAGATCTTTCAAGCCCCATGTTGACACCAGTTTGTAGTGTAGATACAACTCAGTGTGCTTTCATCCTTGAGGTTCAAGCAGGGCCGGATTTAGGTTTGATGAGGCCCTAAGCTACTGAAGGTAATGGGGCCCTTTATATGTCCAGCTGTCCTTTGTCAACAACAAATTGTCGCTGTATTTTGTGTTTAATATATGTTATATGGTACAGTCATACTTTGTGTTGTGTCCGCTTCATGTTGCGTCTTTTTGCGTTACGTCCCGCGGCAACCCGGAAGTACCGGAACAGGTTACTTCTGGGTTTTGCCGATTGCACATGCACAGAAGCACTAAATCATGCTCCGCGCATGCGCGGAAGTGCCAAATCGCGCTGTGTGCCTGCGCAGATGCAGCACTTTGAGTTGTGGGCATTTCACATTACGGACGGGCCTCCGGAACGGATCCCATCCGTAACACGAGGTACCACTGTAATTTATGGACCTAATAGGTATCTAAAGCCATTTGCACATAACAAATAGGATTAAGTTTGAGAACCAAGGTACCACTGTATATAGAAATGAGCAAACCAGTGATATTTTAGGGAGCAGGCTAGCAGGGGGCCCCCATTACTTACATCATAGGAGCCTACACAACACAAAACACTATTGCTGTATGTAGGTTTTATTTTATTTATTTTATTTGTTTTTTAGCTTGTATTTTGGAAATGTACATCTAGTGGGGGTTTTTTCTTTATTTTTTTGTCCCCCCCCCAAGAGAATGGGGCCCTAAGCTATAGCTTGTTTAGCTTATACGTAAAGCCAGCACTGGGTTCAAGTCACCTTTAAGCCCCTCACATGCTATTTCTTGTGAGGAGGACAACACAGCTTTTGCATTCTCACAAAAAAAGTGCTTTGGGCAACAAACAGTTTGGAAAGCCTACATGAAGTGCACAGCTATGATAAGTCAGTGGCTGCCTAGTATGATGGTCAGAAAAATGCCCACCCACCATGTTCCTGTCAGGAGTTCAGTCTACACTCGAGTAGGACCCTGGCAGAGACACATGCCCAACTGGCATGTTCCCTCCCTCCTGGTCGATCGTTCGGGAGCGTCAAAAGCTTTCTTCAGCCCGAACATCACAGCGACCGATGCCAACCGAAACCGGCACACTTAGAGATGCAGAGTTTGCACAGTGGCGTAACAGACCTCAGCCTCTCAGCATTTTGGCTAATCTACTTTATTTACATATAAACACACACGGAGTACTGCAACATGGCTCCCTCTCTCTCTAGCATCAGACAGCGAAGAGAAAAAGAACAAAGGACAATAGTCCCACTTCACGGAACACAGGAACACAAACATCCTGTCTCCGTCACTTCCCACGCTGTTGAGTTAAAACATATACAGTGGTACCTCAGGTTAAGTACTTAATTTGTTCCGGAGGTCCGTTCTTAACCTGAAACTGTTCTTAAACTGAAGCACCACTTTAGCTAATGGGGCCTCCTGCTGCCGCCGTGCCGCCGGAGCACGATTTCTGTTCTCATCCTGAAGCAAAGTTCTTAACCCGAGGTACTATTTCTGGGTTAGCGGAGTCTGTAACCTGAAGCGTCTGTAACCCGAGGTACCACTGTACCATCATGCGATATACAAAAATCCCATGACTGTAATCATGGAGCAGGAATTCTAACAGTTTTGACAACAAACCAAGCCAGCCTTGGGAAGAACTGCAGTACCTTACCAGAATTGCCTGGAGAGATTCCCCCCCCCCTGTTCTTCTCTCTAGATACCAGGACTCTGTGTATGTGCTGAGCTGGCTGGAGGACTTATCCATGCGAGATGATAATGTCATTGGGCAGGCCTGCTTTGTGACCGGCTGTCTTGATCTCATGCTTTATGCTGGTAAGAACTGTGCGCACCTCTTTTTCTAGAAAAATAGCACTGCGTGTGACCTCCGAGAAACAAGCAGCTATGGAAACATCGATAGTCCACCTTGTAGCAAAATACCACATTTTTTGCTCCATAAGACGCACCAGACCATAAGGCGCACCTAGGTTTGGGAGGAGGAAAACAAGAAAAAATTATTCTGAATCCCAGAAGCCAGAACAGCAAGAGGGATCTGGTGCTACGAAGTCCCTTCTGTTCCTCCTCCCGCTTCGCTGAATGGGCATTGCGCAGCTCTCCCTCTCTGCGCAGTGCCATTCGCTTCATAAGACGCATTCACATTTCCCCTTACCTTTTAGGAGGAAAAAAGTGCGTCTTATAGAGCGAAAAATATGGTATTCTCAAGGCATCCTGAGAAGAAGAAAACAGAGAGGAATGCCAAAGAAGAGAAGCAAGTACAGTGGGACCTCGGGTTAAGTACTTATTCGTTCTGGAGGTCCATTCTTAACCTGAAATTGTTCTTAACCTGAAGCACCACTTTAACTAATGGGGTCTCCCGCTGCCACTGCGTGATTTCTGTTCTCATTCTGAAGCAAAGTTCTTAACCTGAGGTAATATTTCTGGGTTAGCGGAGTCTGTAACCTGAAGCGTCTGTAACCAGAGGTACCACTGTAACTGGAAAGCATGGGTCTCAAAATGTACAGCTGTTAAGGCTGGTAAGGAGTTGGTTAAAGGAAAAGAAAGATGAGGTTTCTACCAAAGGGCATGTTTTCAAGTTGGAAAAGCGTTTTCTGTAGGCAACTCCTCCCTCGAGACTACGAAAGCAGTGGGGTAGACAGAGTGCCGCCTCTTGGACTTCCGCTGCCTGAGGCGGGTGCATGACCCTGCCTCATGGGCGGGCCGGCTCTCTGCATTGGGGAATACTTGGAATGTCCCAACTGAATTTCACAGTGGAATTTCACAAATGAAGAGGAAGAAGAGTTTGGATTTGATATCCCGCTTTATCACTGCTCGAAGGAGTCTCAAAGCGGCTCACAATCTCCTTTTCCCTTCCTCCCCCACAACAAACACTCTGTGAGGTGAGTGGGGCTGAGAGACTTCAGAGAACTGTGACTGGCCCAAGGTCACCCAGCAGCTGCATGTGGAGGAGTGGGGAATCGAACCCGGTTCACCAGATTACGAGTCCACCGTTCTGAACCACTACACCACACAGGCTCTCCAATGCAGAGGGTGTGATTTCAGAATTGAAATCCATACGTTCAATGCTTTTTTTCTATATAAAAAAATCATTAGGGGGTACTCTCATTTTCCTACTCATATTGAAATACTGCCCCTCAATGAGGCCAAACTTAAATTCACAGAATGTTTAGGGATATGTGTACCCCCTAGAAAAAGCACTGCATACATTTATTTCGTTCCCTGTGAGATCAGAGGCAGGCTGCCTGTTTACAGGTGTCTTTCCTTTTGCAGGTTTTTCATTTAAGTCCTTTGACTTCTGCCTGGACTTTGTTTTGAACCAGCAAATGAACTGCATCCTTATGTCTCAAAACAGCATCATGCTTGGCCTGTATTCTTCTCTGGCGATTTGGTAAAGTTTAGCACTCGGTGTTACTCATCTCAATCTTAAGACTGAATGTGGTGAACTTGTAAAAGGGTAAAAGAGTATTGGGAGATAATCCACTATGAATTGGAAAAAAAAATGTTTAAAAGTACTTTTCAACGCCCCCCTCAAAAAAAAAAAAAAAAAAAACTAGATTCCTTTTTGTTGGGGATAATTCGGACTGAAATTCCCAGGTGTCAGAAAAGCTTCTTTATGTATGCTACTACTGTGGCCCATGTTTTGTTAGCCCCAAAATGGAAAATGAGCAAAGAAGAATGGCAAGTTTAATTGATGGAATATGCACAGCTTGTGGACCTAACATAGAGAATAAGAGAACAAGAAGAACATATGTTTAGAGAAGATTGGAAAAGGTTTATTGAATATATGGGAGGAAACTGTGTACACTTGAAAACATTGGCAGCATTAAGATAAATTCAACAGTGTAAATAAGTTTTGACGGCTGGGGAGGCGGAATAACAAATTTATTATTATTATTATTATTATTATTATTATTATTATTATTGTTTATGTAAAATATGCAGGGATTTATGATATGCAAAATACCATGGAAAGAGAAGAAGGGAAGTCATTGATATTTTAAGGATGTAAAACGAGTTTTTTAAATTGCATAACAGAAAATCTAATAAAAATTAGAGAGAGAGAGAAAAGAATTGGGGGTGGGGGCTGCCCCATAGATGGCGTCCCTGCAATACTTGCCTTGTTTCTTAGAAAGAAGCAAAATGTTGTGGGCGAAAAAGGCCGAAAAATATTTAAGCAACACACTAATTTCCATGTTTTAGCCATTTATTCTAGGGGCAATACAGTACTATGTTTATTTGCAACTCTGTTTGGAGGGGCAGTGTTTGAGGTTGCGCTTTTCGGTTGCACAGCTCTACCTCTCTTTCAAATCAGAACCAGTGAAGGCGGTGAAGGTTCTGTGTGAGTGTCTGGAGGCGGTTGGAGGATGGATGGCGGCTAACAAATTGAGGTTGAATCTTGACAAGACAGAAGTACTGTTTTGGGGGGACAGGAGATGGGCGGGTGTAGAGGACTCCCTGGTCCTGAATGGGGTAACTGTGCCCCTGAAGGACCAGGTGCGCAGCCTGGGAGTCATTTTGGACTCACAGCTGTCCATGGAGGCGTAGGTCAACTCTGTTTCCAGGGCAGCTGTTTACCAGCTCCATCTGGTACGCAGGCTGAGACCCTACCTGCCTGCAGACTGTCTTGCCAGAGTGGTGCATGCTCTAGTTATCTCCCGCTTGGACTACTGCAATGCACTCTATGTGGGGCTACCTTTGAAGGTGACCCGGAAACTACAACTAATCCAGAATGCAGCAACTAGACTGGTGACTGGGAGCGGCCGCCGAGATCATATAACACCGGTCTTGAAATACCTACACTGGCTCCTAGTATGTTTCCGAGCACAATTCAAAGTGTTGGTGCTGACCTTTAAAGCCCTAAATGGCCTTGGTCCAGTATACCTGAAGGAGCATCTCCACCTCCATCATTCTGCCCGGACACTGAGGTCCAGCGCTGAGGGCCTTCTGGCGGTTCCCTCGCTGTGAGAAGCCAAGTTACAGGGAACCAGGCAGAGGGCCTTCTCGGTAGTGGCGCCCGCCCTGTGGAACGCCCTCCCATCAGATGTCAAAGAGAAAAATAACTACCAAACTTTTAGAAGACATCTGAAGGCAGCCCTGTTTAGGGAAGCTTTTAATGTTTAATAGGTTACTGTATTTTAGTGTTTTGTTGGAAGCTGCCCAGAGTGGTTGGGGAAACCCAGCCAGATGGGCGGGGTATAATTTATTATTATTATTATTATTATTATTATTATTATTATTATTATTATTTTACGATAATGCAAGGCGCTTGCAACCTTAGAAATATCACAGCATCAAGGGTGGACCTTGGTAATAGGGCACCCTCTGCAAGGCCAAAATCTGACGTGCCCCCTATCCACTGCCTCCCCAAAGTACAGTAAGTAGGCCGCTGGGCTTTGGGTAGGAGGCGCAGCAGCTCTAGGAAGGTCTTAGAGCTCTCCCAGCTCCTTCCCTAAGCTGGGCAGGCACACACCGGACTTTGGGAAGCAGTAGGGAGGACTCTAGGACATGTCAGCACCCTCGCGCTGTAGCCCCCTTCCCAAAACAAGTGCTTACTGGCCTTTGGGAAGATGGTGGAAAGACGTCCACTTGGCCCCTGAACCCTTTGTGGGGAATCTGGTCCCGTTGCCCTAAATCTGCCTCTGACAGCATTTTAGATCTATTGTCCTTTCGTGCTGGAAATTGGAGCTTAGAGTCTATAGTTTTAGAAAGAGGACTCTCCTCTTGACCTGTAACTGACACCGCTCTGTCTTACAGGTGTGGCAGACTTCAAGAGTGGGATGACTTTATGGAGCTGTTTGAACAGGCGAGAAGGTTGGTGAGGAGAACGAGCGCTTCGCTTTATGCTAACCATGGATTCTGCAAGTTTGTGGAGTGTGAGGCTCTGCTGCTGAGAAAATATATTGAGGAAAGTCCTGGGAAAGCTCGTGAGATGCGCAACAAGATCACAAAAGTAAGGGCTTGGAGGTGGGCTCTGGAAATTTCCTCTGTCTTAAGTACTGAAATTAAGAGTCCCCTACAGTACGCCAAGGGACACGGGTGACGCTGTGGGTTAAACCACAGAGCCTAGGACTTGCTGATCAGAAGGTCGGCGGTTTGAATCCCTGCGACGGGGTGAGCTCCCGTTGTTCGGTCCCAGCTCCTGCCAACCTAGCAGTCTGAAAGCACAAAGTGTAAGCAGATAAATAGGTACCGCTCCAGCAGGAAGGTAAACAGCATTTCCGTGTGCTGCTCTGGTTCGCAAGAAGTGGCTTAGTCATGCTGGACACATGACCCGGAAGCTGTCTGCGGACAAACGCTAGCTCCCTCGGCCAATAAAGCGAGATGAGCGGCGCAACCCCAGAGCCGGTCACGACTGGACCTAATGGTCAGGGGTCCCTTTACCTTTACAGTATAGGAGTCACAGCATGTATTGTCTCCCTTAGCCTCTTGAGGCCACACTTTTGCAAGGCATTAAATACAAGATAATGGCCACCAAACAGCTGATTCTGAGATGGGCTATGTTGCTTCTCCTTGGGTCTTTTTGCTCCTCACCATACTGAGCAAAGCTGAGGTTTATTGCCTGAGCTGTGACCTGCGGTTACGCTATCTGCTCGCTAACCCTGAGCTGCAGCCAAGAACAAACCTTGGCTACAGTTTGTCTTTAGTGAGGTGAGGGCTTCATCGCAAGCCACAATTTGGACAGCAGTTTGGCTCCCTGTCTTGTGCGAACTAAAAAGGGAGAAGTCGTGTTTTGTCTTTGCTTCCCAACCTTCTTCTCCTATTCAACCTCGTCGTCCTTCTGACTCTGCCTGGTATGATTCTCCTATTGCTCCCATTAGAATTTGGAACAAGCAATTACACAGTGCTCCACAAGCCCCGTCTACTATTCCAGGGTTTACCATATGAAGGCCTACGTCCAACTCATGCTTGGGCAGGATGAAAACAGCCAAAGCTTCCTTGAGAAGGCATTCGCGGACAGCGAGTTGTATGGAAACCATCTGGAGCAATCCTGGCTAGAAATTACCAAGGTAAAGTCTTGAGATCGCCAGTCAGTAAAAAATATTTCTCCAGGGACAATGGACGATGGACCAGGCAGAGGGCCTTCTCGGTAGTGCCGCCTTCCCTGTGGAATGCCCTTCCTTCAGATGTCAAGGAAACAAACAACTATCTGACTTTTAGAAGACATCTGAAGGCAGCCCTGTTTAGGGACGTTTTTAAGAATGTTTTCATTATGTTTTTAGACATGTTGTAAGCCGCCCAAAGTGGCTGGAAAGCCAGCCAGATGGGCAGGATATAAATAATAAAATTATTATTATTATTATTATTATTATTATTATTATTATTATTATTTGTGATGCCCAAGAATAACATGGTGGTATGTAACAGATTGGGAGTAAATGAAATAGGGGATATAGATATAAATGGGACAAGCCTGAGATTGGACCAATATTCCTGGGAGACGACTAGATACAGAATGGCATGGCTGGCGCGGAATTTTGACTGATCTGTATTAATAAAAAGGCAACAACTTTAAAAAAAACCTCAATTGCACACGGTTAAACATCAGAGTGGCTTCATATCTTGTGCAGCCTGCTCTTTTCCATGTGGTATGCTCAGAACCTTTTTTTCAGCCAGAACTCAGTCCCAGCAAGGAAGGAGTTCATGGTGAGTTCTGACACCTCTTTCCCTGGAAAAATAGCACTGGCTATGTTCCTTGTCAATTCCCACCAAGCAGAGTGGTGTGGTGGCCAAAAAGTGGCTCTTTCACAACTGTGTCACGATTCTAGGGTGCAGCCCATGATAGATAGAGATAGTAGCAGGCAAAAGATGAATGGATTCCTCTCCGCTCCTCTCTCTCTCTATCCCAAACGGACTCCCTCAGGTAACTTTCTGAGCAGTTCCTGTTTCCTTATTTCTCCTAGGAGTGGTGGTTCACTGGAAAATGTCCCATGGAAGACTACTGGTTAAAGACGGCTCCTGATTTTCCCATATGGGAAGTAGGAATGGGAGAGAAAGACATGGGAGCCTTCCATAAAAACAAGTATCTGCTGAATGTGCCCGAGCTGGACATAGACAATCCATTCCCAGACTCAGTGAGTGAGGTTGAGATAAGCTGAGAGAATTCTGAAGTGCACCAACTCTCTTCAGCAAATCCTTTCTTCCTTTGCTAAACTCTAATATTTAGCCTGTCCGTCCCATTTCCTCGTCACTTTATCTTTTCAAATAGATAGCATCCCATAAAACCTTGCAACAGAACACTGAAATTCAGCTTCTTCAATGTGGATTTCAGTAAAGCTTTGAAATGAGACGATGATATCTATTTAAGCATATTTTCATGCTTTCATTCCACAAGACACAAAACCTACATGCACTGCTTGCCCTTGGCTGAGGGTGCTTCTGAACAAACTGATTGTTCAGATTCCTTTTTTTCCAGTCCTGTAGATTTTTTCAGGTATACAGGGCCGAGGCCCATTTAGGGCTTTAAAAGTCAGCACCAACACTTCACCCCCTCTCAGCCTAATCTACATTGTGCTCAGAATCGTACTGGAAGCCAATGTAAGTTTCAGGACCGGTGTTATATGGTCCCGGCAGCCCCTCATAGTCACCAGTCTAGCTGCCGCATTCTGGAATAATTGTAGTTTCTGGGTCACCTTCAAAGGTAGCCCCACATAGAGCGCATTTCAGTAGTCCAAGCAGAAGATAACCAAAGCATGTACCGCTCTTGCGAGACAGTCTGCGGGCAGGCAGGGTCTCAGCCTGCATACCAGATGGAGCTGGTAGACAGCTGCCCCGGACACAGAATGGACCTGCACCTCCATGGACAACTGTGAGTCCAAAATGACTCCCAGGCTGTGCACCTGGTCTTTCAGGGACACAGTTACCCCATTCAGGATCAGGGAGTTCCCCACACACACACACACCCTGTCCCCCAAGAAAAGTACTTCTGTCTTGTCAGGATTCAACCTTAATTTGTTCGCCACCTTCCATCCTCCAACTGCCTCCTGACAAGACATATGCAAGACATATGCAACAGGGTGTTGTTCCCTGTGGCTCCAAATCTTATATTGGAGTGGCACCAGAAGAAGTCGTAGAGATTCCCCAAGACGAACTGGCCCTGAGTGGATTCTTTGGCGATCACTCGTAGCTGAGTAAGATCGTCTTCCATGAACATGGTCTTAACAACGAGTCTGTAAGTGACTGTGGAGGCCAATTCTGGATCCACACATCCTTCCACAGTGGGGACATAGGTGTCTGGGTGGGAGTTGATCACGGTGAGGATTTGCCAAGTGTGCCTTCCTCTTAGCACATTTGTCCTTTTCGTCCTGAGTTTGAGTGTCTTCAAAGCCCATGACACCTTTGGTAAAGGCTGTTCTCCAACTGGAGCGCTCGCAGGTCAGTGTTTCCCAGTTGTCGGTGTTTATACTACATTTTTTAAGATTTGCCCTGAGAGAGTCTTTGAACCTCTTTTGTTGACCACCAGCATTACACTTTCCATTTTTAAGTTCAGAATAGAGTAGTTTCTTTGGAAGATGGTAACCGGGCATCCACACAACATGACCAGTCCAAAGAAGTTGATGTTGAAGAATCATTGCTTCAGCACTGGGGATCTTTGCTTCTTCCAGTACACTGGCATTAGTTTGCTTGTCATCCCAAATGCCAAGTGGATAGACACTGAAAAAATACAACAGTGACACCCTGTGGCTGAAGCATCTCAAATCTAGCCTTGTTTTGGAATATTTTCCCCAGGTAAATAGACAGGGAGTCAGCATAGTGTGGTGCACAGTGTGTTGGACAGGAACTTGAGGAAACCAGGGCTCAAATCCTTGATCGGCCATGAAGCTCACTTGGTGACTTTGGGCCAGTCACCCCCTCTCAGCCTAATCTACATCTCAGGGCTGTTGTGGGAATTAAATAAGGAAGGGGAGAAAGCCCCCCCCCCCAACCCCAGACAGGAGGTGGGAAAGGCATTCCCAGGGTTAACAGTCACAGTTACAGCAACTATTATAGTCATATAAAAATCAGAGGAGATCACAAGGGACTAGGGCCCTGCGGAACTTGACATCTTTCCGCAGGGCCTGCAAGACAGAGCTGTTCCACCAGGCCTTTGGCCAAGGTACAGTCTGAGCCCCTCCTTTGGCAATCCTCACAGAACTCTAGCCCAATAGTTGCCATTAATTTGATTTGAACTGATTTTATAATGTAATGATTTTAGAATGTTGTATTATTTTACTGTTGTTACCCACTCTGAGCCCGGCTTTGGCTGGGGAGGGCGGGATATAAACAAAATTTTATTTTTATTATTATTTATTATTACTCCCCTATCTGATTTACAGAAGACATCAGACGGCAACCCTGTATGGGGAAATTTTTAATGTCTAATGTTTTACAATTTATGTGCTGTAAGCTCCCAAGTTTGCTCAGCAGGGTATAAATAATAAAATTATTATTAATTTATGTTGTTGTTGTTGTTCCCCGCGAGGTGGAAGATAAAATAAATGAAAACAGGAAGGGAATTCAGTGTTCAGAGCACTGCTCTCTCCCCTTTGACCTTTTCGTCACTCTACTCCGTGAATTCCCGCCGCCATGACACCAGAGGCAAGAGAGGAAAACCCTCCTGGCAGCTGAGTAGAATGAACACAGCTCCGTCGGGAAAATACAGAGCGGAGAAATTTCCCCACCTCCTTTCCCCCCTTTTTCTCGTAACTCCCACTCTTTTTAACGTGTTTTTTTCCCCATAAAAAAGTGAATCTGAGGACGATCAACAGAAATCCTGACACGTGTTACCTTCAAGGACCGAATAGCGGGGAGGGGGGGGCGTGGAGGAGAGAAGGTAAGCGAGAAAACAAAAGGCTTCTCGGCAGCCGATTGAGCGTGACGTCAAGGGAAAGACGCCAACGCACGCACGCACGCGCGAGGGAGGGAGGGAGGGAGCGAGCGGAACGACGCGAGCCGGGCCGCTGATTGGGCGAGACGCCATCCGAGACGCCGGGCTGGTGTTTGTGCGCGCGTGCGCGAGGAGTTACCCGCCAAATTCAAACGGCCGAAGAGGAGGGCTCGGTTCTTCCGGACTTCTCTCCGCTGCTCGGTTGCGGCAAACAGACAGGCGAGGATAAAACGGCGACTTCATAGGCCTCTGGGTAGGAATGTTTTTCGGCAGGAGCCAGAAAGAACCCCTCTCCCCCCAAAACATGGATTAGTATTGTTATAGCACCCCACTGCGAACATAGTTTATTGCTGCTGCTGTTGTTATATTGGGTTTATTATTAATATTAATATTATTTTATTTTGCTTCTTATTATTCCCGTGAAGCTCTTTTTTCCTTTTTAAAGTGTTTAATGGTGTTAAAGTGCTGCTATGAAGCAGAACCATAGGCTAACATTTAAGCACAATTCCACAACACTGCTTAAATGAGGTTACCCTGTTTTTTGCTTTTTGTTGAACATGGTTTATTATTATTATTATTCCGGTGAAACTTTTTTTTTTAAGTGTTTAATGGTGTTAAAGTGCTGCTATGAAGCAGAACCATAGGCTAACATTTAAACACAATTCCACGACACTGCTAAATGAGGTTGCTTTGTTTTGTTTTTGTCGCCCAGCCCTATCTAAAGAATAATAAAGATCTAAATCTACAGGATTGAAATTAACAACCCCATAATTATAATTGGCAATGAATTGTGAATTTTATAAGCATTTCTCTCTCGCTCCCCCCCCTTAGTAATGATGGGGTAGGCAAATTACTTAGTCTCAAGCAAGTGTCATAAATGAGGTCTCTAAAAAAAGTTTAAACTTGATAAAGGAAAAATAATAAAAATCCTTGTAGTTAAAAACTTAAAAGGGGAAGCAAAGACCTGAAAGTGCAGGTGAAACTTGATGGCGAAACTTACCAGAAAAATAAGAAATCAAGATAAACTTTTTATAAAAGGATGGAAATGGTTTATGGAATATTTACATATAATTTTTAAATTGATAAGAACATTGGCAGGATTATTGTAATAACCTGCAGTATCATACGAGTATATATTTAAAGTAGATGGATAAATGAACAGATTAAGTTAATACATGGATATGCAGAAGATATTAAAAATAAATTTAAGGAACTGCAGAAAGAGGGAGAAGGAAGTCAAGTTTTGAAATGTTAAAATGACTGTAAAATTATTGAAATGTATAAACCTGAGAATCATAAATAAATTATTATTATTACAGTGGTACCTCAGGTTACATACGCTTCAGGTTACATACGCTTCAGGTTACAGACTCCGCTAACCCAGAAATCATGCTTCAGGTTAAGAACTTTGCTGCAGGATGAGAACAGAAATCGTGCTCTGGCAGAGGGAGGCCCCATTAGCTAAAGTGGCGCTTCAGGTTAAGAACAGTTTTAGGTTAAGAACAGACCTCCGGAACGAATTAAGTACTTAACCTGAGGTACCACTGTATTAGTTAAATTCACAGGCAGCTCTTGGTCCCAACATTGCAGCATAAAAATTCAAGAAAAGAAAGAAAAGTAAAGAAACACACAACGTGGGCGAAATAAGTAGGCGGGAGAGGAACCTTTAACTGCCCCCCCCCCCACAAAATAGCTCCCACTTCCAAGAACCCCTGAAATTAAAAAGAAGCAATCACCTGTTCGGTATCAACCCCTTTGCACGCATACATTTCACAAAGGTTGGTGAGAGAATTTGGGCAGGGACTGCAGAAACTGGTGGTTGATTCCTCCCACCTCCCCACCTGGCAGCGGTTTAAAAGTTGTACTTGACTTTTTCTTTTTAGGGCAGACCGCCTTACGAAATGGATAACTGCACCTTTCCGAGGTACAGTGAGAATGACATCATCACGCACATCCGCAGCTGCTTGCTCACAGCAAACGAGGCCAAAACCTTCTCCAAGGGTGACTTATTTCCAAACGTCAAGGTAAGTGCTATAAGAGAGTGGATTTATGGCACAGAATCAAAGTGCAGCACTGCGGTGGGTAAAATATGCATTTGATTTTTCCCTGTGTACAGAGCCAGAATGAGTGAATTTAGCCAAAGTAGCTGTTTGCATGTAAATATGTCGCTTTAACTCAGCGCTATGGTAGCGTAGCATATGACTGTATGGCAAAACAGACCCAGCTCAGGGGGTGGAATTGTAGAATTGTAGAGTTGGAACTGATCGCGAGAGTCATCTTGTCCAACCCCCTTCAATGCAGGAATCTCAACTAAAGCAGCCGTGGCAGGTGGCCATCCACCCTCTGCTTAAGAGCCTCCAAGGAAGGAGTCAAGCAACTTCTTAAAGAGTCCATTCCTCTGTTGAATAGCTCTTATTTTCCGAAAGATCTCCCT